ATAGTATCTCTCTCCATTTATTTAGGTCTTCTTAAAGCCTTTGAATAACATTTTGTGATTTTTTTCATGAAATTTTTATACATCTTGCGTTATTTTCATGCTTAAGAATGAAATTGACTTATGTATAACTTCTATTTACAACCTTGCAGAATGCTTCTATTCACTCTAACAATTTGTCTCCAGATTTCCTTGGATTTTCTATAGACAATCATATTTCCTGTGATTAATGACATTTTTATTTCACCACCACTAGTCATGTTTTTCATTTGTTCTTCTTTACTGTGTTGGACAGGAGTTCTAACTCATTGCGGAAGGTAAGTGGTGATAGAAAGTATCCATTGTCTCATTCCTGATTTTGTAGGGAATCGTTCTAATGTTTTACCATGAAATATGATGCTTGCTCTAAGATTTTAATATCTTTTTATGAATTGCTTATTAAGTGACTTTTCTCCATATATTGAAATGAGCATACTCTTTAATATACTTATATGGTGAGTTACACTAATAGATGTAGTTAAATTATCATTGCATTTCTGAAATAAACCCAACTTGACCATGATTTATTTATTTATACAGAGCTGAATTATATTTATTAATAGTTTGATTAAGATTTGTGCTTTGTGCATCTATTTACATAAATGAATCAGTCTTTATTTTTCCTATCTATACTGGTTGTCTATTTTTGGTATCAAGGTTAAACTAGCCTTGAAAAATTTGTTGGGGAATGTTCCCTCTTATTTATCTAAGAAGTTCTCTAGAAGATTTTACATAAAATTGGAATTATCTGTTCTTTGAAGATTTGGTAGAACTCACTAGTAAAATCATCTTAGCCTGTTGTATTTGTTTACTTAGTAGGTAAAACTTTAATTGCTGATTCAACTTATTTAATAGATATTAGAAAATTCAGGATTTCTAGTTCTTCAGTCAATTGTGATAGGTTTTATTTTTATAACAAAATCTGTATTTTTTCTAAATTTTCAACTTATTAGCACAAAATTGTTTCTCGTATTATTACCTTTAGATCTCTAATGTATTTTAGTTACATCTTCTTTTTATTCCTCAAATTCTTTATTTGTACCTTTTGTTTTATCTTTATCAATCTTACCAAAGATTTGTCTATTTTTTAAATCTTTACAAAGAAACAGTTATTGACTTTATTATTTCTCTCTGTTGTATGTTTTTGTGTCTATTTCATTATTTTCTGTTTTTATCCTTTCAAGTTTACTCTGATTTTCTTAAGTTGGATACTTTGCCGATAATTTCTGCCTTTATTTTTTCTTAATATAAGCTTTAAGGTTATAAATAATTTAAGCACTATTTTAGCTTTATGTCACAAGCTCACACACAGGCATGTGACCAACTCAGCCCTAATGTCCAAGTCCCATTCCTGCAAATAGTCACCCTTTGGCCATTCTTGATGCAGACTGTGGCATAATCCACCCTCAGGAGGACAGCCCCAAGAAAGAGGTTCAATTTAGGCCTTGGAAATAGACTTGGAGCTGTTTAGGCAGGAAATTGGGGGTTCCAGGTACCTAGTAGGTGGTCTAGAAATGAAGTATGCAGGCTTCAAATAGATACATTTTCTTGACCCTATAGACTACTCACCTTGTAAAGATGAGAAAACCTAGAGGAAGGCCAGAGTGGGGCCCTCTCAAATTAGAGGTTCAGGTCAGGGCCTCTCTTGCCCATATCCAAAGACAGTACCATATGAGACAGCAAGCATGCTTCTTTCAAGAGGAAGAATGCTGCCACAGCAATCAGATAAGAAAAAGAAATAAAAGGCATCCAAATTGGTAAGGAAGAAGTAAAATTTTAACTATTTGCAGATGCTATGATACTATACATAGAAAACACTAAAGACTCCACTAAAAAACTATTAGAACTGATAAATGAATTCAGTAAAGTTGCAGGATACAAACTCAATATACAGAAATTCACTGCATTTCTATACACTAATAATGAAGTAGCAGAAAGAGAAATCAAGAAAACAATCCCATTTACACTTGCATCCAAAAGAGTAAAATACCTAGGAATAAACTTAGGCGGTGAAAGACCTGTACTCTGAAAACTATAAAACACTGAAGAAAGAAACTGAAGATGACACAAACAAATGGAAAGATATTCCACGCTCATGGATTGGAAGAACAAATATTGTTAAAATGTCCATACTATCCAAAGCAACCTACACACTTAATGCAATTCCTATCAAAGTACTAATGGCATTTTTCACAGAACCAGAACAAATACTCCTAAAATCTGTATGGAACAACAAAAAACCCTGAGAAGCCAAAGCAATCTTGAAAAAAAAGAACAAAACTGGAGGTATCACAATCCTAGATTTCAAGATATACTACAAGCTGTAGTAATCAAAACAGCATGGTATTGGCACAAGAATAGACACACAGATCAATGGAATAGAATGGAGAGCCCAGAAATAAACCCACAATTATATGGTCAATTAATCTTCAACAAAGGAGACAAGAATATACAATTGGAAGAAGTCTCTTCAACAAATGGTAATGGAAAATACTGGACAGCAACAGGCAAATGAATAAAACTGGACCACTTTCTTATAGCATACACAAAAATAAACTCAAAACGGATTAAGGGCCTAAATGTGAGACCTGAAACCATAAAAATCCTAGAAGAGAGCACAGGCAGTAATTTCTGACATTTTTTTAGATATGTTTCCTCAGGCAAGGGAAACGAAGGCAAAAACAACCTACTGGGACTATATCAAAATAAGAAGCTTCTGAGGAGCTAAGATGGTGGCATAGTAGGAGGACCCTATGCTCCTCTCATTCCTAGAGCACAACCAGATAACTATCAAATCATTCTGAATACCCATGAAAACGACCTGAGGACTGACAGAACACACTGCACAACTGGAGGGAGAGAAGAGGCCACATCAAGGAAAGTAGGAAGTGCAGAGACGTGGTTTGAGAGAGAAACAAACTAAAAAGCTTCTGCACAGCAAAGGTAACAATCGACAAAATTAAAAGAAAACCTACAGAATGGGAGAAGGTATTTGCAAATGACATATCTGATAATGACTCAATATCCAAAATATATAAAGTTGTATATATACACAACTCAATACCCAAAAAGCAAATAATCCAGTTTATAAATGGGCAGAAGTCATGAATAGACATTTCTCCAAATAAGACATACAGATGACCACCAGATACATGAAAAGATGCTTAACATCGTTCATCAGGGAAATGCAAATCAAAACCACAATGAGATATCACTGGCACCTGTCAGAATGGCTAAAATCAAAAACACAAGAAACAATTTGTATACCTGAAAGTAGTATTATACTGTATGTTAATGAACTGGAATTTAAATAAAAACTTAAAAAAAATTTTAAACACAAGAAACAACAAGTGTTGGCAAGGATGTGGAGAAAAGGTACCCTCATGTAATGCAAATTGGTACAGTCACTGTGGATAACAGTACGGAGGGAAAAAAAAGAACAGTATGGAGGTTCCTCAAAAAATTAAAAATAGAACTGTCAAATGATCCAGTAATTCCACTATTGCCAAGGAATACAAAAACACTAATTTGAAAAGATATATGCACCCCTATGTTCATTGCAGCATTATTTACAAGAGTCAAATTATGGAAGCAGCCCAAGTGTCCATTGACAGATGAATGGATGAAGAAGATGTGATATATATATATATATATATATATACACACACACACACACAATTGGACATTTGCCTGTTGCTGCCCAGTATTTCCAAAATTTGCCTGTTGCTGTCCAGTATTTCCATTACCATTTGTTGAAGAGACTTTTTCCAGTTGTATATATATATATATATAATGGAATATTATTCAGCCCCCCAAAAGAATGAAATCTTGCCATTTGCAACAACATGAATGGAGCTAGAGAGTATAATGCTAAGCAAAGTCAGTCAGAGAAAGACAAATACCATATAATTTCACTCATATGTGGAATTTAGGAAACAAAACAAAGAAAAAAAAAAGAGAGAAACCAAGAAACAGACTCTTAACTATAGAGAATAAACATGGTTACCAGAGGGCAGGTGGGGGTGGGGGTGAAATAGGTGAAGGGAATTAAAAAAAAAAAAAGAGGAAGAATGCTGGTTACAGTAAGATGAGGCAGAAGAAGTATTCTGTGCAAAGATATGAGGGTCAGGAAATTTGGGGAGTACAGAGAACTATGGATTTCAGAACAGACAAGAGATACATGGTGAGACTATCTGGCCTCTATATTGTAGAACTCTGAAGTAAAATTTGGGCAAAGTCACAGTGGATTCAGCCTTTATAAGAACTATTCTCTTGGCATAAAATACTCTTCCAACTCTACTCCTGATTTGCTGCATCCCTCATTCATCTAACTCTTATACATACTTCAGGTCTCAGCTTGAGTTTCACTTTCCCTAGAAGGCCTTCCTCCCATCCCCTTATTAATTTATCACCCTCCCTCTTAAATTTTTCCAAAGAATGTATAATTCCTCTTCTGTTATAGTCAATCACATAGCTGACTCTCTGATTATTCAGGCTGAAAGCTTTCTGAAGACTTTTGTTTTGTCCTGCACCATATCCCCAGCACCTAGAAAATGACTGAAACACATCTGGTGATCAAGAAATATTTGGCAAATTAATAATTTGGCCTTGGGGCACCTGGGTGGCTCAGTCGATTGAGCGTCCGACTTGATTTCAGCTAAGGTCTTGATCTCCAGGTTCTGGGACTGAGCCCCCTGTCAGGCTCCATACCTCAGCAAGGAGTCTGTTTGAGATTGTTTCCCTTTCCCCACCCCCTCACCCTCCCAACTCATGCACACTCCCTCTTTCTCTCTCTCTCTCTACAATAAATATATCTTAAAAAATAAATAATTTGGCCTCATGATACTTGAGTGGCATTGCTTGATGTGGTTGAATCCAAATAGGATATCAGTAGAATATCAGCCTTTTGATGTTCTTCCACTTTGAATAATGTCATTTTACATACAACTTTTCAAAGCCAGTTACTCAGACAAAGGTGGTTTATTTGGATATCTAAAACACTATATAAGATTCTCTGGAAAATATAAAATCATCCTGCTGTTACACTATCATTTTAGAAAAATAAAAAGGCTTGGATTATATACTAGAAACACCCCTTCATGTAAAACATTTTTGCTGTTACCTATAGTAAAACAGACGAAAGGACAACTTGAAGGAGAGGGAATGGTCCTGAGAGTGTTTGGGTTGGGATCTACCCACCCCAATCCCAAGCAGTGAAGACAAAGATGGAAGAACTAAGATGCTAGTTTGTGGTGGGTCCCCTCAATAACCCAATCGGTTCATATGGACAACCCATCTGACATATTCAAACCACTCTTTGATCACTGATGGTCATTCTTTGGAGAGTTCCTCCAAAGCAAGCACATGCCGGTTGTTAAAATGATGTGGAGGTTAATCAACAGAGCTACCCCTTGAGAATCTTGCTCCAGGCTTCTGTGAAGACAGCATCCTTGGTCCTGATGAGTAATTCCATGGCTGTACATGATTCTGGGTGCAAGTCCACAAATACTGGGGCATTGCCTGAGTGTTACTAAAAATAACAAAGGTTTCAGGGCTGGAGACATTGTCAACCACACTGTCATGGCAATCTGTGTCTCCAGGACTCAATGGTGGGGGAACGATATGTAACTGATGACCCTGACAGAAGGAGCCTGTGAGTACTTCAGCTTCAAACACATATATCAGTTCGTCTATGGCTGATGTTTTCTTGACCTGGTGTGCTAGGTTTTTCAGGTTCTTGGTGAAGTATATACCAACTCCGTATTTTGGGTCTGATAAAAGAAAAAAGGTTAAAAGATTATTAGGATCTGATGAATCATATTGCCTATGTGGGTACTACTATGTAGTCTCTCTCCAGTCCTCCAAATAATCACCACCTCCTGGTCCCAAGTCCCTGTCTGTAGCAAAGACACCTAAAGTTGTTCTCTTGAAACAAATTATCGTTGGTATCATCGGCCTAATAATAGCTTACATTTACATACCTACCTTCCTTTTTATTTTCCTTCCTGCCTCCCTATTTTTTTCTTTACGTTTACTTCGGATTTAATGGAATATTGTTGCAGACTCGAGAGCAGCACTGAACAACAGAAGTTCAATGTAAGCCATATATGTAATTTTAAATTTTCTAGTAGCCACATTAAAATTAATTTACTAATTTTTATTTAATCTCTGATATCCAATATGTTATCATTTCAACTTGTAATCAATATAAAAATTATTAAGGAGATATTTTACATTCTTTCCTGGAAAGAGAAGAAACAGAGAGGACATGACTAGAACTCTTGGGGAATCTGAGAAGGGACTCAGTTCACTGCCCCACTCCCTCAAGAGAGCCCTGGGAGTCAAGATAGGGCGGAACAACAAGAATCTCAGAAAAACAGGGAGTAGGGGACTTCCAGAGTAAAAGGAACCATTGTGTGACTCTACTGGGTGCAGCCCCCTCCTCCAGCCTGGCCGCCAAGTGGAAAGCAGTAACGGTTGGGGAAGACATCCAGAACAGGTGAAGAATGTCACACAAGACCTCGCATTTCAGCCTGGAGGATGTACACACACAAAAATTTCCTGCGCTGCAGGAGGGGCACAGACAATGGCCTAGAAAGGAATTCCCTGGGCATGAAAAACAGAGTGCCCTGTGTAGACACTAAGAACAAAGGGCACCACAAATTTAAGCACAGGAGGGTGCTAATGACCAAAGCCCAGGGTGGTTTTTCCAGCAGAGGACATCTGGAGACAGAGAACAGACAGATGCAGAACCAGACCACTCTCCCCACAGTGCCTGTCCCATCATCTAAAGCATTCTCAAAAGAAAAGAAGGGGAAAAAAACTTGCAGGAACTGAGTTTAAACCCCAAAGGGACTCAGAAAACTCTGAAAATGACTGAGTTCATCTTGAGCTGTCAAGATGGGAGTTTTCCACCTCTGTAGACATGGGAGCATGAAAGGTAGGTAAAGTTCCATTTTAGAGCTATAAAGAAGACAAGCCCCACACCTGAGTTTTGTGGAACTGTAGATTTTTGTACCTGTTGGAGTCACAGATGCGGTAACAAAGGAATGTAGGAAGTGTCGAAGCAAGAGCAGGAAGCGACTCCCTGGGCCTGTAGGAGTGAAGGAAGGTGTCCACCCGGAGACGCCATTTGAGCTACGTCTGGAGGAAGGAGTAGGACTTTGCAGGGCGAGAAAAAGGGTGAGGAAGGAAGGCATTCCACAGGCAAAGGCATAGAGGCATGAAATATCCAGCACATTAGGAAACCCTAAGCAGCAGTTCCTGGCTGAAGTGTGGATGAACACAGTGAGTGATGAGGCTGAGGAAATAACAGGAGTGGGGTTGGCGGAGGGTGGCTAGGTCCTTACTTGCTCTGCCAATAAGGTGGGAGTTTTACCTTGTAGGCAACTAGGAAGGCAGGTATTCTTAAACAGGCATGTATGTTTTTAGCATGATAATTCTGGAAGCAGAGAAAAAGATAGGTTGGATAGGGCTGTGGTTTTGAGAGAAGGAAAGGACCTGGTCATCATCTAGGCCCAGGGGAAGAAGAACAAAGGCAATAGGAATAGAGAGGTGAGGCTGGGCTGAGAATGTCGTCAGGAGGGAACCAGTAGGGCTGTGTGACTGGCTGAATGTAGAGGAAGAGGAAGGAAGGAAGGGAAGATGATAAACTTTCCAGCTAGGAGACTTGGTATATAGATGGTGATGGTAGTAGTCAGGTTAGGGAGTATCGGGGGCGGGGGTGGGAGGAAGCACCTATCTCTTAGGGAAAACTATGGCCAAGGAAAAAAGTCAGTCGGAGGTGGCAGAAATATTCAAAAGATAGTCAGAAATACGGACCTGCAGGTCAGGAGAGAGAAAGGGGGTTAGAATTACAAATCTGTAAGTCATCATAGGGGTAGGAGTTGAAGCCATAGGTAGAGGTGCAAGGCAGACATAGTAGAGTTAAAAAAAAAAAAAAAAAAAAGCTTCCTTTAGAATGCCAGAAAACACCCAACAGGTGGATTCATTAGATTATAAATTACAAGGGCAGGAACTCTGTGTGTTTTCCTGTTGTATTCCTCCCACCTAGCACAGGGGCTGATTTACAGAATGTGCTCAAGAAACACTCGTGGAATGAATGAATGAACCCAATAAAAAAACTGCAGCATGGAGGCTCCTTCTTGCTACATTCAGCCAAGTCCTACAAGCAAGAGATGAAATCAGAACTGGCTGGAATGAAAGCCAAGATAGAAAATATAAATATATAAAGCTTCATTAATAGAAGCCCCCTTTGCCTATAGTTGGCCATCTAAACTGACCAAGAGTCCCATAATTTGGAAATTTGCAGGGGGAAAAAAAAAAAAAAAAAAAGCCAAGAACCTTTGTACTCCATATGAAAACTAGGTTAAAAAAGAAGAGTTGCAAAACAACTTCAGTGGTGATAAAATGTCTCCTGGGTCTCAAGCACCTTTGGTTAAGCACGCTCACCAGACATGTTGGCTCAAGTCACATTATGGACAGTATCTCCCCGATGAGTTTATTATCTGAATCGCCTCAGGCAGTGGCTTTAAGCTAAGAACTAGGGACATGGACAGAGCACAGAGGCCAGTAGGTAAAAGACCAGAATCTTGAGGCTTAAAGACTAGATGGAGACAAGACCTTTGGCTGGGTTTTAAAGATACAAATTGACCAGAAGTAAACAGGCTTCATGCCTGCTGAGGTTTTAAAGGAACCATATTGCTGAAGAAACTGTTAGCCTGGCTGTCAGTAGCTTGAGAGCATTCTAGTCCTTGAGGCAATCCACGGACCGCTTATAGGCCATGAACCCCAGTGGGCCTAGAAATGACCAAGGGCGGCAACACATAAGGAAGATTCTTCCCAGAGTACAAAACAAGGGTGTTAGTCCACTCCCAGAATTGGGTCCTCACTATCCCTGTCCAGCAACATGTGATTAGCGGTATGGACCAGTGACTTTCCTTCTCCCCTTTAGAAATGGGAGGTTTTATTGTTTTGTTGTTTTTAAAGATCTTTTTTATTTTTTGACAAGAGAGAGCACAAGCAGGGGGAGTGGCAGGCAGAGGAGGAGGGGAGAAGCATGTGGGGCTCGATCCCAGGACCCTGGGATCATGACCTGAGCCGAAGGCAGATGCTTAACCAACTGAGCCACCCAGGCGCCCCTAGAAATGGGAGTTTCTATTGCAGTTTTCCTGCTCCTTCTCCTATCATTATATAATGAGTGGGTTAGGGCAATTACCTTGCTTTTAGGCTTTAAGAGAGGACTTTCTGGACTTGAGGCTGATGATGAGACAGGATGAGACTTTGGGGCTATCTTCCTCGGGAGGTGGTATGTGTGCCTTTTAGGAAGAAAGACGTGTACAGATGTCAGGCAATTTGCAGCATCTGCCACAGGACTGAAAAGAAGGCACTACTGGATTTGAAAAATAGGAGGATAGTGATGGTCTTAGCAAGAGTAGTTTAAGGAGGAGGAGGAGGGGGGAGTGCAGAGAAGCCAGTTAGGAGTTTAGGAGCAAACGGAAGTTGTGAATTTTTAAGATTTTGCCAATATCACTATTCTGGCTACAAAGACTTCTGGGTGGGGATTCATTTATCAATTTTTACCCCCAGGAATTTTCCATGTTCAATTTTTACTCCAGGTATTGCTTATGTTCTCTCTGGGGGCAAAGAGATGATGATCTCCAGACCCTTTGCTTTCCAGAAATCAAGACTTGGAGCTGGCTTCACAGCAAGGATCATGCTATATATTTTGAAAGGTAAAGATCAAGAACATAGTCAATGGATCAGGCAAAATCAAGCCACATGGCTAGGTATCCTCCATGATTATTACTAAACTTTCTTTGCCTCCTTTGGAGAGATCTAAAGGGGACAAAACAGCAATTAAGTCTGCAATATTGTTGTACAACTGAAAAGAGACATGGAAGCTGCACATAGTAGAACTCCCATAGCTGGAAAGGATCTTAAGATATTGTTTACTTCACCTGCCAGATGCTAATTCATTCACTAGCAGGCTATAGGAAATGAAGAAGATGGAAGAGAAAAGAGCAACTTATTAAGTTCAGGAAAATGCCCTTTTAATTAAGGGATGAGGTTTGGTAGTGCTGATAATAATTTTGTGGAGCTGAGCCAAAAAAAAGCTTCTGGGTGCTCTCTGCAGATAAAACACACAACCACAGAAAAGAGAAAAACAGTGAACAGTAGATCTTACCGCTAAAGCTTTTATCAACATTAAGGGCAACAGCAACAAAACATATGAAGGACAAAACAAAAAATATGACCCTTTCCAAATTACTTGGTCACTATATCCCAGTTGCAAGGGTCCGCCTCACCACAGCAACAAATGCTATGAGTGATGAGTCATCTGCTGAGGTCTGCTCACCAATCCCCACATACAGAGGCCCTGAAGATGAGGGGCTGACACCTACCGCAGGGCGCCGAGTACATTCTTTGAAAGCCAACTCTGCATACTGCTTCACAGAACTGGTAGGGAATTTGCTGAAACAGCCTGTGGCTCACAGGCTTCCCATGTGTTCTCCCTTCCATCATTTTCTTCTTTTTTTGGAAGACAGCCATGAGAACCGCATTGTCTATTTTCTCCACCTATGACCCAAGGATATGAAAAACTGAAAAAAACTGGAAAAAAGGTGAGAACCACTATTTACATTGCTTGATACTCTACTTCAAAGAGAGAAAGGATCTTATGTGCATATTACTTGGCATGCAACTTGCTTTTCATATAAAGTGTTTTAAGAGTCTCCTGGCCCCACCCCTCTCCTACTTTGACTTCTGTCTCTTCAAAATTCCCTGTCCCTTCTTTGATAAATCCATGTAATAAAAATTCACTGAGCAATCCCTACGTAACAGGCACTGGTAATGAAATGGTCAACAGTGTAGACAGTCTTTGCCTTCTTAAAAGCTCACGGTTTAGCGAGAGGTGAAAATAGGTAAACAATTATAATACAGTGTGATACATGCTATTCCATTTCTTTTCATGTTGCTTCAAGATAGGCAGAGAAGTTTGCCCTGACGCTTGATCCGTGCTTCTGTACGTCCTGACATCATTCCTACCTCCTGATTCCAGCTACGCCCTTCGTGCTTGCCCACCCTGCCTGCCCTTCAGTCCTAATCCCAGGGCTCCAGGTCAACGAGCAGCTGGCTTGGAGTCCTCAGCAGGTGAGTTTTTCTTTTGGTTACAGGACCAAGTGAGAGCGAGACAAGTCAAATCCCTCCCTTAACTAAGTATACCTTTATAACCTGCAAACCACAGTTTTCAAACTGTTTCTTCTGATCCTGAATTTCCTCCGCTGAAAGCTTTAGGCATCTCAGAAATGTATTCCTTTTCATTTCATCCCGGGCTGGGGGTTGCCAATCAGTCCATTGTCCTAAAAATGAGTAACACAAAACTTTGTCTCAATGCTCTGTGAGAGGAAAAACGTTTGTAAAGAAATTTAATAAAACCAGTCAGAGAAATTCAAGGGAATGGATTGGCCAGTTTAAATTGTATGGCTTATATGTTTAGGACATGCAAGGAGAGTACAATATAATGAGAAGGCATAGGATAGAAGAGGGCATTCATAAATTTGTCCTCACACGATTTGGATTAAGAGGCTGAGGGAGCGAGAGAAAAAAGAGCATGAGTATATACCTCCCCCACCGATGTTGTAATGATGACATATAACTGTGTTGCTAATAGGAAATGTTTCTATTTCTGGCCAGGATGCTCATCAACAAAAAGATACAGGCAGAACACAACTTTAAGGAATGATGAAAAATAGTATGCATTTATATGAAACTTTCTTAAGATTTTCAAAAAGATTTCATATCTCAACTTCATTTGGGCATTACACCACCACCACTGAAACAATGAACACACCTTTACAAATAAGGAAATTGAAACTCGAAGTTAAGGGACTTGCCCAATATCACACAGCTAAAACAAAGCTGGCTTTCACCAGTGCTTTCTGCAATCGGCAAGGCAAAATATTTGGTACATGTATCACTCATATGCACCCAACCACAAAGAGCAAACTTTGGAGATTAAGAGTTTATGGTGTCCTGTCTTCCCTCCCTTCCTTCCTTTTTCCCTTCCTTTGTTCCGTCTCCCTTAACTTTCCTACCTTCCTTTTTAAATTCAAGGGACAACCTGTTTTTGCCTAGCAACTCCTTGTTGGAATAAATATACGTATAGGTGAACAAACAGAAAACCCCCAAAACACTTATTTTCTTTTTTAAAGATTTTATTCATTTATTTGAGAGAGAGAGAGCATGAGCAGTGGGGAGGGGCAGAGGGAGAGAGAGAGAAGCCGACTCCCTGCTAAGCAGGGAGCCTGATGCAGGGCTCGATAACCAACTGAGCCACCCAGGCACCCCTCAGTTTATTTTCAGTTTGACTTCAACCCAAGTAAACAAAAATGATGTAATTCCCAGCACATTATTTAACCACAGAAAGCAGATGATAAATCCAAAGAAATCCACTAGAGGGGCCAAATTGTAAATCTGGGAAGCAGGGGGTACAAAATTCCGTATCAGAGAAACTCCAAAGCCAGGAAATTTCAAAGGAAGATACTCTAAATTAAATCTCGAGAGCAACAGCTGACCTTGATAAAGTACAGTAATAGAGTTCAGTTCACCTGAGTTCAGCAAACATTTACTGAGCTCCTATTACCTGTCCAGTGCTGGGTTGGACACCAGAGACTCAAAGATCCACAAACTCCTACTGTCAGAAGCACTCCCCAGGAAGGATTACAATGGCAGCATAAAAGAGGAAACACCTAACTTCCATTATTTAAATTGTATAGCTCTGATGGATAGTTAGTTGATGTTCCTTGTAGTAATAACTCATTGAAAATTTATCCATTTTGTTAACTAAGGTCCTAATCTAGTTGAGAGAGGGTCAGTGTGTAGGAGCCTCAGAAACACAGCTGTGGAATGGTATGCTTAGTCATCAACTATCAAAAGTGCCACCTTGCAGCAGAACAAGGGACTTACAGAGCTAACTGCCAATAGCCGGGAGAATGGGACAACCCTATGAGTGCAGTTAGTTTAAAGTAATGCCACAAGCTTTATAGACCAGTGTTTGTCTCTTGTTCTCTTGGGAAGTATACCAGTATTAGTTTAAATATCCACAGTCATTACCTTTCAAAAGCTAAGTAGAAATCATAATGTTTGGTCTCATTCTTGTGTATTATTTTTGAATGCTATTTCTTTATGCTCTATGTTTTTAATTTTTTTAAAAAGATTTTATTTATTTATTTATTTGACAGAGAGAGCACAAGCAGAGGGAGAGAGAGGGAGAAGCAGGCTCTGTGCTGAGGAAGGAGTCCGATGTGGGACTCGATCCCAGGACCCTGGGATCATGACCCGGGCCGAAGGCAGCCGCTTAACCGACTGAGCCACCCAGGCGTCCCTGTGTTTTTAATTTTTTAAAGATTTTTTTATTTACTTATTTGAGAGAGAGAATGTGTGTGAGAAAGGGAGAGAAAGCATGGGGGGGAGGGGCAGAAGGAGAAGCAGGTTCCCCATTGAGCAGGGAGCCCGATGTGGGACTTGATCCCAGGACCCAGGGATCATGACCTAAGCCGAAGGTAGATGCTTAACCGACTGAGCCACCCAGGCGCCCCTCTTGTGTATTATTTTTTCCATGTTTTTTGATACTGGGTTTTCTAGGGAATGTGGATACAACACTTATTGTAAACTCCCACTCACTTTGACCATGTCTACCTGAATTATTTTTACAAACACAGGGTGAAAATGAGGTGTCCTTTGAAAATTTGCCTCTAAATTTTTGTACCAAACCCATCAACGTTACAGTGAAACTGACCTTATCTTTGTTAAAATCCTTCAAGGCTCTCCCTTGCTTCAAGAAAAACTCTGAACTCTCATGTGATTTATAAAGTCTTTCATAATCTAGACCCTGCCATGGTCTGATTGCCTGAAAGTTTCTTTACCTTACTAATTTCTACCTATTCTTCATTCTCCATTTATGACACCTCCTCTGAGAAGGCTCCCCTTGACCTCCCAAGTCTGGGTTAGGTGTCTAAATTGGTATTCTGAGACCCAATTCCAATGTCTGTGTGTGTAGGAGGGTTTCCCATATATACAATCAAGCAATTCTGCTACTATCTACCCAAGGATAGCATCAGATTCCATAGGTTAAGAGTTCAGTCCTATAAGACTGCTCCCCAACACACATGCACGCGCACACACACACACACACACACTTCAGATACCAGTCAAAAGCCAGGCCGTTACCTGTGCTTCTGGCTGACTAGCTACAAACTGAAGGTTCCAATGACCTGCTCCTTGGATTTCAAACACCAGTTGCAAGTTCAGGTTGTTACCTGTACTTTTGACTGGCTGACTATAAGTCAGAGGTTCCCATGATCTCCTCCTCGGGTTCAATTAATTTGCTAGAGCAGCTCACAGAACTCAGAGGAACATTTTACTTACTAGATTACTGGTTTATTATACAGGTGTATTACTCAGGAACAGCCAGACTGAAAAGATGCATAAGGCAAGGAAGGAAGGGGGAAAGGGTGCGGAGCTTCCATGCTCTCTCCCAGCAAGCCACACTCCCTAGCTCTCCATGTACTGACCAACCTGGACGTTCTCTGAACCTGTCCTTCTGGGTTTTTATGGAGGTCCGTTACCTAGTCACAGCTGACTAAATCATTGACCATTGGCAACTGATTCAACATCCAGCGCCCTCCCCAGAGGTTGGGCTGGGGGATACCGAAAGTTCCAATCCTCCAATCACAAGTTGGGTCTCCTGGTGACCAGTCCCCATCCTTAGGCGCTTTCCAAAGTCACCTCCTTAATGTAACAAAGACATCTTTATCACTCTCAACACTCAGGAAATCCAAGGGCTTTGAGTGCTGTAAGCCAGAAATGTGGACGACGGCCAAATATATGTGACAAATGTTTTGATCATCTGAATGACGAAACATATATATTCTAAATCGCAACATCACAGTGCCTGTCCGAGGTGCTCCCACAGAGCATTTTCACCCTCCTCTTTCATAATTAACTTGCTTGCTTCTCAGTATCCTCAATTAGATTTTGAATGGAAACAATGTCCATCTTACTATTGTATCCCCAGCACCCACCACATGCTTGGCACATATCATGGATACAATATACATCAGTCCAGTAAATAAATGAAATAAGCTTCTGTTTCCCAAGGTGGCATTTACAACAGTGTACTTTTCCTAGTTAGCTCTAGGACCACGTTAAAAGGACCTCTCCAGACCCAAATTCCCAGTCATCATGATGAATTTTTGCCCCACTAAATGGGAGATACTTGAGTTACTTCACAGCATGAATGGTTTACTTTGGGGAGAGAGCTCAAAGTAATTTTAAGGTTCCTGATGCTGCCAGCAACAAATACGTAAATGCGAGAAAACTCAAATAAATGAATTAATCAGGTGGAATGTGTCTATATTTGAATGCTCCATTTGTAGAATTAGGGATGTACTTTTTCCCCCAGAACCTGGGCTTGCGTTGCTGGAGGCTTTCCATTTAATTGCCTCTTGGGCAATCCATTTCATCATAAGTAAATCCAGTCATGTGTGTGCACGTGCGTGTGTGCGTTGTGTGTGTGTGTTCTACTAATTAACCCTGCTGGTAGAAAGACAGCCAAAAAACGGTTATAAGAGGTTATGGCTTAACACAGAACCAGCATGATTAGCTCTCTCTTCCATGCTATCTCTGACCCACATACATACAGACGCACCCACACCCATAAGGAATAGTTGCAAGAGCTGACTTTCCAACTTAAAGTTACTCACCTAACAAGCTCCAAAGGGCTAGCTCCTTTTTTCTTGCCATCTCCTCCTGAACTTCACACAGCATAAGTTCAATGTTCATAACGACCTCAATGACGTCAGCTTGGGCTCCTTTCATCTCTAAAATTGCCTTTTCCAGACTGATAATCTCTGAGATAGAGACCCTTAAGTTATTCTGAAGCCGAGTCAAAATGTCATGTTCCTTTTTCCCAAGGTAGAGGATATGATTGTTCTCAATGATATGGTGGTCCTGGGGGGTCAGTATCCTTTGGATCCACGCTTGGGCCTCCTTCATCTTTTCCAGGTTGGATCCCATCAGACTGATGGCAGGAGATTTAGCTTTGAGCCCATTTTCTCTTTTCTCTTCTCTGGTCAACTGGGGCACTGAAAAGACTGTCATAAACATCCACAGAAGGCAGGTGGGTTTTAAACCAGAGCAGAACAAAACACCAAGGCCAATATTTGCCCCGAGGACATTACGACCATTGTTGCAGCAGCAGCTTCAATTAAGTGCCTATCTCTGATTGCTGTGCTAGATATGAAGGAAATCTAAACGTATGGTTTACAGTCTCTCTTTAGAGCAGAGTTTAGCCTGTAAGGGGTTGGTTTTATCATGCGTTGTCCCTGTTATGTTGCATTTGTCAGTTCACAGATGAGTTAATCTTGTGATATCACCCTGGATATTAACCCACTATCATACCTCAGAGATGCAGGTCGGGTTCCAGACCACCGCAATAAAGTAAATATTGCAATAAAACAAGTCAAATGAATTTTTTGGTTTCCTAGTGCATATAAAAGTTGTGTCTACACTATACTGTAGTCTAGGAAGCATGCAATAATATTATGTCTAAAAAACAACGTACCTACCTTAATTTAAAAATACTTTGTTGCTAAAAAATGCTATCACCTGAGCTTTCTGCAAGTTATAATCACTGATCACAGATCACCGTAACAAATACAATAATAATGAAAAAGATTGAAATATTGTGAGAATCACCAAAATGTGATATAGAGACATGAAGTGAGCAAATGGCTGTTGGAAAAATGGCACCAATTGACTTGCTTGATGTAGGGTTGCCACAAACCTTCAATTCATAAAAAAAAAAAAAAAAAAGGCAGTATCTGTGAAGCACGATAAACCAAAGTACAATAAAACGAGGTATGCCTTTATGTCCCACTCACTGAGATTTTCCTCAACCTCTTGCTACTACCAAGTTTGAAATCAAACATCTCTGAAAGCCATACAGCTTAAAGAGTGAAAATTCCTTTTGAAAAATATGTATTTCTGATTATAAAAATAATACATTTATTTTTGATAAATTAGAAAATTATTCAAGTTTAATGAAAGGAAGATATACCCATAACTCTACTACCCGGAATTCCTTTTGTTATCTTATCTGTATGTAACAGGACATTTTACACCTCCACAGAATTTGGAGCTTAGCAGCTTCTACTGCTTGACATGGTATATCCCAGCAGAAAAGGTCAGGGAACTTGATTCCAATCCACCCATGTGTACCCTTTTCTACAATCCCCCTCCATAAGGAGCAAAGATATATATAAAAAAGTAGAATCTCTGATGGATTAGGATAACTCTCAACCCAAATTGCAAAAAAAAAAAGTTGGAGGGCAATGGACCAGATGAGAGGAAATTCATAGGCGAGGCCGTATCTAGAATATATAAAGAATTCTCTCAAATTATCAAGAAAAAGGAAGAACCTAGTACTCAGCTGGGCAAAACATTTCACAGAAAAGGAAACACAAATGGTCCAGATATGTGTGAAAAGATGCTCATCTTCGCTGGCAATCAGGGATATGAAAAATTTTCCACCAGATCTTCGCTGGCAATCAGGGATATGAAAAATTATCCACCAGATCTTCGCTGGCAATCAGGGATATGAAAAATTATCCACCAGATTGGCAAACAATAAGTCTGACAATATTAAGTGTTGGGAAGGATATAGAGTAACTGGAACTCCTGTATATATTTATGATGGATATAAAACTGGAAAAACTACTCCCACAATTATATTTTGTAAAGAAATTTTTGTATGTGTGTATCAGGAGATATGTATAAGAAAGTTCACCTTCTCGTTTGTAACAGCAAAAACCTGGAAATGACCCAAATGTCCTTCAGCAATGGAATATTATTATAGCAATGAAAAGGCGTGAATTTTAGCTATTTGGATGAATCTCAGAAACGTAGTTTGAAGGGGAAAAGTAAATTGAGCAACTACTATGTTCTAGGCATTGTTCTAAGTGCTTCACATAAATTATTCTGTTCACTCCTCACAACCTTATAAGTACTATCAACAGCCCCATCTTACAAATGAGGAAACTTATTCAGAGTTATTAAGTAACTTGCCCATGGTTATAGGACTAGTAAGTGTGGGCAATCTGACTCTAGTACTCACATAATTCTGCCTCCCTGTAAGGGATCTGAGGTTAGCAGTGGTAATTAGCATCTTTCCCCCTGATGGAATAGTTGGGTGGTGCGAGGAACTATGAAACAGTACCAGGAGAGACCCAGAAGTAAGAGAGGGTCTGAGTTGAAAAAAAAAAAAGCCAATGTTTTGGACAATAGAAGTGACACGTGTTCTTAAATTGGAGGCATAGGGATTTTGTTTGTTTGTTTTTTAACCCTTGTTCTGCCTGGGAGTTTATATTACTTTTTAGGAGAAAATAGAAGCAATACATGGTGATACTTCATTTATCCATCATTACCGGGGGGGGGGGTGGAAATTGTTCTTCTGGGTAACTAATTGTTCAGATCACTAAAGGGTACACTTCTAGCACCAAATGCATTAGTTAAATATTTATGAGCTAAATTACTAGTTTATTAGGTAAATATTTATTAGTTAAATATTTCTAATGAAAACACATTTCCCTGCCGTCCTCAATAGTTTAACTTTTCCTTGATAATCTGAGATCATCACCATTAGCCATTATTAATGTCAATTATTGTCTTGCGCTATAATTATAATTCTTTTACAGATGTCCTTAAAAATGACTGAACTAAATGGTAATGCCTGGCCCTATTATTCAGACTAATAACACAGAGACGTTTGTATGTTCCTTTTCCATATTGTCCTCACGTAAGCCTCCTATCTACCTTCCTTAGATTCAGTCTTGTTCCCCACAGATGCACTGCATTTGTTTGCTTCTCTGCATTTTCTTTGCCTTGGGTGCCCCACCCCACCAGCTCTAGTCATTGAAAACCTGCCATCCTCAAAGCCCAACTTAGAACCACTCGTCCAGGAAGCCATTCTCAACCCCTTCAGGTCAGAAGGACTCTCCCCCTCCTCTGGACCCTCTAGGTAGTTTGTCCAGCCCCTCATTCATTATTCTTTGGACTTCGTTTAATGCTTTGCAATTTACAGAACATTTTGACGTACATAATCTCCAATTATCCTGACAAAAGTCTGTCATTATCCTCCTTTTACAGATAAATAAACAGGTTCATAAGAGGCACAGTCACAAACCACAGCTCTTCAAGTACCCCCTCCTTCATTTCCAACACCACTGGACCACAGCACATCCATACCTGAGCTCTTCTGTTAAAGTGTATAAGCAAATCATTGTGACCCTCGTGGGAAATACCCTAACAGTTTCTATTGCTCGTTGAGTGTCTAGTGTTTTTAACATTTATAGAATACTGTAGATCAAAAGACTATTTCAGAAGTATATACGTCCCAGTTGTCATGAGGCCATTTCAACTCCATCAACTCAAACTCCACTAAAGGAAAGGAGTTATACGACACAGTCAATCTTTCTCCAACATCAACCAGGGTTAGTTAAGTCCAGTGATCTACAATCCTAGTTCAGTAGCAAAACTGACTAGGAGCTCCTGAAAAATATGCATGCTTGGCCCCGATCCAGAGCTCCTGAGTCAGAATATGTAGAATTGGGGGCCATACATATTTTTGTTTGTTTATTTGTTTAAAGTTTCTGTCATGATCCTAGTGATTCTCAGGTTTGGGTAGCATCAGGTAAATCCATTTATTATTATCTGGTATGACTGAGATGTGTTTTCTATAATGGCAAATGAGTAACCCCATTTAGATGTGACCCCATTCAGAGTAGAAAGAGTAACTGGTTTAGTCAGCTTATTGAAGGGCAGAATTTTCCTTAGAGAAAAATTATAGAGAGCTATCTATGAAGGAACTACCCACACTGGCTTAGCCTCTCTCTATTCATATCATGAAACTGGACTGGGCAAAAATAGAATCATGTTCAGATACCGAGCAGGTTAGTATCCGAACAGGAGAAAATCTATTTGGCTTATTTCTTCTTCTTGTCCCTTCTATTAGTTAAAATGATGAAGAACAGGATGAGCCCCTGGTGGGTGGACTCTACTTCTAGGCCGGTGAATTTCTTACTCACCACTGTAATTATTGAAATCACGTAGCTTGGATTTTCTCTTTGCCATTTCAGCGCTGAAAGCCTATAAGAAGCAAAACAGAGCAGAGTCGTAAGTGGGGCTTTTAGCCATTGTCATCAAAATCCCTCTTCCTACCTGCATAAACCACACTTGGCCTCATCCACTCTGTCAATCCCCATCCCCACTGCCACAAATCCATAGCAGCCTTTTGGAAAGTCCTAGGAAACAGCAATCAGAGCACCAAATTGTGTCGTACCACAATCTATTAGAACACCTAGGGGAAACAAGTATAGAAAAACCGGAAGGAAAACCAAAACCTGGTATAAAAAAAAAAAGAATGTATGTGTATATCCCAAGGCAAAATGTAACCATTCATTCCACAAACATTAATGCTCTGGTTATTGCATATTAGGCATTGAACCAAGGCTGTGGCCATGTCACCGGAGAAGACAAAAATAGGCAGATGCTCTTGTAATTAATAAACAGAATGCGCTTGAAAAGATTGTTCTACAGTTTCTCCTTAGCACAGTGTCTGGTTGATGCAATGTATGGCAGCTGTCTTTACTATTATCGCCTAGGGGAGCCCTCAGATTGTGGTTGACCTTTTCTTTTTTAAGTGCCACATTCATTTTTGTTTGTGTATTGAAGAGAAAGAACCTTCTTTTCTAGATGCAGTTCATTCCCCTTGTAGGAAGACGGTACTTCCTGAGCTGTTCAGGGATGTGCTCGGGGCATCTATCTGGGCCCATCGATCGAGCTCTGCTTTAGGGGGAACTTCATTTGCAAGACAGGATGATTCACTGTGTCTGGAAGGTGAGCTCCTTCACTGGGTAACTGGCTTGCAGGCCAGCTGTGGAAGAGACACAGTGGTTGGCATTTGCTGGAGCTGGTTGACATTTGCTAATGAGAGCTCACAGTGGGCATCTCTTCCCAACTGCACCTTCAGAGATGTCAGCAATGAATATCAACAAACGCTACAAACCTCCCTGTGCCTAGTCAAGCAGCAAAAGGAGTAAGAACCTTAACACTTGTTGCAGAAAAAGAGGAAGCTAGAACAAGTATGAGTTTGTTTTCTTGTAGGGAGAGAGAAAATGGTAACCACCCACCTGGAGACAGGCTGTGAGGTGGAAGAGCGAGCAGTCAGAGGACTAGTGTGTTCAGAGCCACTCTGTCTGCCAGGCACCGAGCAAGGCCCTTTCTACCCAAAACCCAGACCCGTGCTTGGGAGCTTGTGCTAGCACTTGGATGTTGCCATTGGCAGAATCAGAAACCTGTCTTGAAAATCCATTTTAAGTTGCTGTATCTTATTTCCTTTCCTTTTTTATTCTTCCTTAACATCATGACAGCCCCTTCTCGAAGTCTCAGCTAAGCGAGAATAAAGTCCAGAGATGGTACTTTAAAGGCAGAACAGCACAGCACTATATACTAATTATGCTGAATATATCAGGGACCTTCTCACATGTTAGAAACTCAGCTTAATCTGCCCACTCTAAAAAAGCTGAGGGGCGCCTGGTGGCTCAGTCATTAAGCATCTGCCTTCAGCTCAGGTCATGATCCCAGGGTCCTGGGATCGAGCCCCACATCAGGCTCCCTGCTCGGCGGGAAGCCTGCTTCTCCCTCTCCCACTCCCCCTGCTTGTGTTCCCTCTCTCGCTGTCTCTCTCTGTCAAATAAATAAATAAAATCTTTAAAAATAAATAAATAAATAAATAAAAACGCTGAGGTGAAGTGAAAACTAAAGAAGCTGGACACACAGATCTCTGCACTCAGACACACGGACACACGCCCCTACACACTCGTCCCTCCCTTTTGTATCAGACCACAACTGACTTCCCTCGGGGTCACCCACAGAGAAGTTAAACAATTGATTGAATTTGGGGACAGTACTGGGGACATGGCAAAAGTAGTCAAAGATACCTCTGCTGTGAAAGAATTAATAATCTAATTGGGAAGAAAAGATAACAAACGAGTCACTTGGTTTCGTCTTCAGGTCAGCACTCTGTGAATTACAGTTCATGACAGCTGATAGAACGGCTAGCCCTCGTGGAGGGCTTCCCTGTGTGCCCGGTACCGTTCTAAGTGTTTTATGTGTATTAATTCATTTAATGCTCACAACAGCTCCATAGGATGGTAGTTATTATCCTCCCTTTATTTTACTTTCTTTTTTTTCAAATAAGCTCTACGCCCAAAGTGGGGCTCGAACTCACGACCGCGAGATCAAACGTTGCGTGCTCTACTGACTGAGCCAGTCAGGCTCCCCTATTATCCCGCTTTAAAGATAAGGAAATTAAAGCACAGAAAAGTATATTAACTTGCCCCAAGAAGTTGACCAATTGGAGAGGAGAAGACAAGGAATTTGTTTTAAATATGCTGGATTTAAGATGACAATCGGATAACCAAGTGGAAATGAGAGAGGGTTAGGTGTATGGGTCTGAAGGTGGCTCGGAAGACAGGACTTTGCAGAAACTGTAAGAACACTTGTGTTCTCAGAGCAGGAGAGAAGAGCGAGGGGCAGAGGACCCCAGACTGAAACTAAAAGGTTGCTTACCTTTCAGGAGCAGGGGGAGAATAAAGGCCAACAAAGGAAAAGCAGGAAGTTAGGTAGCAGGGTAACATGGCGCTTTAATGACAGGCTTTACTTGGTCAGAGGTGAGCAATTAAAAAACAATTAAATTCACCAAGTTAGAACATCACTGTGCTGTACAGGGCTTAGCTCATGTCTTACATGATGTTACTGAATGAATGAATGAATGAACTATAGGACATTTCTAAAATATTAACTTACCATGTATGTCTCCAGTTCTTCTGGAAAGATCACAAACTTTACAGTTAATTGTTTTTTCAAATGGCATTCGGCAAAAGTTAAAACTTCATCAAACATAATCTCGGCTGCTATACTGCTCTGTATACCAATGCTTCCAGTCCCAAGGGCAGGAAAGGAAATAGAAGTTTTATTTAGTTCAAGGCATTTCTCCAAACATTCCTTCACTGCAGTTCTCAGTATCTGTAGGAAAAACAGATCAGCCTTTGAGTCAAAATAAAACTTCACTCACCCTTTGATCCTGCCCATATCTTACAATGCCAACCTCTAATCTCCCTCGGGGTCATGGCCATGCCTCCTTAGAGAGCAGGAAAGGCTCCACTCCGTGGAGAACCCATGACAGCCTTAAGGTTAGATGATGAGAAACAGAAATCACTGAGGGGTCTGTTTGGGTGCCATGATTTCTCCCAGTTTATACAGCCTTGTCCATCTCCCCAGGTCAGAGAGCCAACCATCAGTTTATCCCATTTACCTGCCACTTCCAGGTTGAAACAAAGAGCTCTTGGAAGTTTAATAAAGGAGACAGAGGGAAAAATCCATAGGCAGCTTTATCCAACATCTTTAAGATATGTCCTAACGTTCTATGTAATTTTTTCTCGAGAAGTGCTAATATATTTGGCAGATTTAAACTTTCCATCAACATTTCAACATCCAAACTGAAGTACAGGAAGGTCGTCTGTGAGAGGGCCTTGGAAAACTGGGGGGTAGATAGTGACTGGAGGACCGGCTTGGGATTAGAGGGCTCTTAGTCAAAGAAGGACCAGAAATGGTGACAAAATAAAGATAAACAAAGGCAGAGAAGGGGACTGTTTCCCTCTCTCCACATTTGAGTGGGTCCCCCCACTCTTTAATGTGTATATTTTATGTGTCTTAGGTGAAGAGTTGGCCAGAAAGCCAATCTGCCAATCTCTACCTCAGGCATTGGTGGGAAGACACCACAGGTAATAGATTTACCTGGAATAATACTGGAAGGGAAATCCCAGATTCTCCTGGCATTTAACTGATGGAGGGAAATATGGAGAGGCTGAATTCCAGGCCCGTTTAGGGAAAGGCCAACAGGGTCACAGGGGTGAGGTAAACAGGTGTGCAGACTAAGGGAGGCCACTCTGTCCAGGTCTGTTTGCAGTATGCCAGCTTACAATTTAGACATGGCTTAGGTAATATTTAAAATTAAATTTCTTAAGATAACTTGTGACAACAACACTTTTTCTGCATCTCAGAGTGGTAGAAAATGAGGACTATCCCACTTACCAATATTTCATAAATGTAATGACATGATGGAAATTCAACAAAGACTATGTAGACTATGGAACTACATAAAGATAAACTTATTATGAACTTACCTTAGTCAGTTTGTAACATCTTAAATGCCACAACACATGGTATACATATTGACAGGACAATTTAAATCCTTTTGTGACCAGTACGAACTGAGAATCTTGCATCTCAGTAATTTTTTTATTAAATTCCAATTTTATTTCATCTCCTGCTTGTTGTAGAATTGATACTGACACAGGTCCAAATCCAAGACCACAGCATGGATTTACAGAATTAACAATTACATCTGTCTGAAAAGGGAAAAAAGAAAAAAAAGACAGACAGGATTCATTGAAGTTACTTTTTCTTAAATCTTTAGTTTGCTGAGGAGCTTTGAAAAATGGTTTTGAAGATCTTAAATTCACAAGACATCTTTTGTTTGTGTGTTTGTTTTGCACAGGATATCAATTAACGGTGGATAGAAACTCATAATTCCTTTGATTGCCATGAATCATTTGTCCTATTCAGAAATTAGGTAAAGTGTGTGGATGATACAGTTCTGACTGCAAACGTCTGTCAGCCCCTTGCTGCCTTATACCCCCATAATCCCAGATTTGGAGCATTCCCTGTGATTTGTTTTAACCTTTATCAATACATGGTTTCATCCCCTGGCCCACTGCCATCACTTTTTGCTATTTCTGCGTGAATTTTCTGTTTTGTTTTAAAGAGAGTGGAAATAAAATTTCTTGGGAAATTTCTACCTCCTAATGCTTTTCTTCTTAAAGAAAGCAGTACATGGTTAAAGAAAATGCAAACGAGACAAAAAAGTCTTCAGTGGAAATAGGCCTCCCTCTTGCTGGGTTCCTTGGATGCCCCATGCACCAACTGTCCTGCAGGCAACCACTTTTACCAGTTCTTCATCTGTCTCCTCGGAAAAGGACTGCATACACATGGGCTGTGTTTTCAGTAGTATCACCCTTAGTTAGCCCTCAGACCTGGGCTACAGGGGACGGTATCCTGCTCCCGCCCAGTGCTCAAACACCCCTAAATCATCCTGATGGCTTTGGTTCCTTTTGCGGGCAACCCAGGTACTTCTAATGGACATTAATGAATGCTTCACTTTGAAAGCACAATCAGAATTTCCAGTTTGGGAGCATTGGCACCCTTGAAAAATTTTAAGGTTCTTAATGTTGCTGGCAATAAAGAAATATAACAAAAGTTTAAAGGGTAAGTTATTCAACTAGGATGTTTCCACTTTAATTTTAAAGTGGCATATTAATGACTTATTGAATAAATGTTTCATCATGTGGGGTCCCCCAGTCTTCTTTTCTAATTGTCTTATAGAAAATAAGTGGTATTTTGGGGCGCCTGGGTGGCTCAGATGGTTAAGCGTCTGTCTTTGGCTCAGGTCATGATCCCAGGGTCCTGGAATTGAGCCCCACGTTGGGCTCCGTGCTCAGTGGGGAGTCTGCTTCTCCCTCCCCCTGCTTGTGTGTGCCCACGCATGCCCGCTCTCTCAAATAAATAAATAAAATGTTAAAAAAAGAAAAGAAATGAAATGATATTTTCTCACTTATGATTAAGTCTATTTGATTGTGGCCATAGGAGAAACTTAAGTGTGACATCCCTGATCCAGAAATAAAAAGAATACAGCCTTATATTCTTTCTCTTCCCTGCTGCCCCCTTCACTTTGGCATCAATAATTTGCTGAAAACCCAGATGCATGCCCAGACTGAGCCCTGGGGCTACAAAGTGAATAATATACAAAATGAATAAGCCATGATCCCCAGCCTTAAGGTGCTCTGCCTAGCAGGGGAGCTGCACCAACCCAGAAATACCCAAGTTCACTGTTACCCTGATTCCCTCCCCTCCTTCCCAGGGCCCTGGCTTTGGTGCCCCACAAGCGCTGGCTAATTGCTAAGTTACCCTTCGTATTCTCTCCAACCGCTGACAGAGAGTGGTATACTAAGTATACAACTTACAGCTCCACTTAGATCTCCTGACTGGTCCAGTCTGTGATTTTCAGGCTCTCACCACTTCTATGTCTCTCTGATCAAATCATACTAACCACCCAGGTCATACCAATCATAACTTGAGATCAGATTCAAAACTCCTCCTGTCTTCTGAATTAATCTTTCTTGGTCCACTGCCCTACACTCTTGTCATAAATTTACATACTCTTAAATATTATGAATTCATTTTGTATTAAGACTTTTTTGTTTACTCTTGATAGGTAGCTTCACAAATGTTCAGATGGTTTGTTTCCCCAATGGGATTTTTCAAATCGAGAATTTTTTCTTACATAAAAGAAGTCTAATCAATTTTAAGTTCCTTGGAATCAAAGCTCGTTCTATTTCCTCCTGGTGCCTAAGAATAATGGCAATAATAATCATAAATAGTTATCATGTGCCAAGCTCTATTCTAAACATTTCATGTGTATTGATTCCAGCTCTTTGATATAAGTGCTATTATTATTCTCATTTTACAGATCAGGAGACCAAGGTCCGAAAGATAAAATAACTCGATTGAGATCACCCAGTTAGCAAATGGCAAAGCTAGCGCTCAAATCCAGATGGTCTGTCTCTGAAGTCCATACTCTTAGCCTTAACAAGATGCTTTTTAAATAGCATCTGAAATAGCATATATATTTTTAAAACTACTTGATAGGTAATAAACAGCTCAGGGATCTCCTTTGGCAGTGCAAGAGAATAGAAACAAAGACTTACCTCCTGCAGTTGAATGTAGCCCAGGACAATCTGGAGAGTCACACTGTTCACGATAATTGTCTTGAAAGGAGGGGTGGCTTCTTGACTCATGCAGGATCCCAGCTTGTTCATCCTTAGGATTGCTTCTGAAGCATTTTTAAAGGCAACAACAGTAGGATTCTCATTGCTTACCAGGTGAATTTCTTTCAAATTAGTGGCCGGTTGCTTCCCTCGGTAATAAAAGCTGATAGTTTCCACAATGATCTGTGTACACAAGTCCAGAGGGAACTGGAAAATCCCAGAGCTCAGGGCTGGAATTGCTACCGTCTCAATGTCTGGATTGATAAAGGTAACATAATCCAGAATATTTATAATGGCCTCTTGCAGCTTACGGGTACATGTCTGATAATATTTTGCTGTCCACCTAGGCCCAACAGCATGGATAATTAATTTGCAGGGAAGTCTCCCTGCTTTTGTGGTAACTATTTTACCAGTTGGTATTTTACCCATTCTGAAAACTAATCTTCTGCTCTCCTCTTGGATTTCAGAGCCGCCAGCATTCACCAGGGCCCGGGCCAGGCCTCCCCCATGAATAAGGTCTTCATTGGCTGCATTCACCACAGCATCAACAGCATGTCTGGTGAGGTCGTCCTTCCAAACAGATAACTCGATCCCAGGAACTAGCATTTCTCTGAAGACTTGTTGAGACTCACCATTACCCTCCAGGGATGGAGAGACCAGGGTACAGATACAGTCAAATTTCTTCTGAAGGACTTCACACAGCTGACTCTCATTAGTTTTTACAATTGTGAAGTCATTGTGATTAATGGGAATTTGCCAACAGTGGTCTTCTTCAGGAGTGGCAGTCTCTGGAAACGTAGAGAAGATTAAAGAAATGAGCCTGGGTTCCTTTGAAAAGGATGTAATTCGACCTCACACTAGGAGACTGAGTTTCCCGTGCGCAAAAGTGAGATGAACTTCCTCTCGTCTCCTTCCTTATCCTCCTTTTCAACCAGACATGTAATTAGGCCAAGGATATACAAGAGTTTTTCATGGTAGGTCACCTGTAAAGTGCTTAGTTTTGTGCCTGGCACACAGTACCTACTAAATGGTAGCTACTACACCACAGTGATGGTGGCGAGAAAACTATGTTTGTGGGGACTCACAGATTTTTAAAATCTATGTAAACATGGTGACTCTGGGAACATCCATGCTTAAGGCCCATGTGCTGGAAAGGACGCAATTATGAGTCAAATATATATGGAGGCTTTAATTCCTAACTTGTTTGCTTTTGCCAGTGTTTCAGTTTGGGGTTCTTTTAGAAGCAGACTCTGAGACGAGGATTTGAGTACCAGTTTATCTGGGAGGCGATCCTAGAAAACACCGGGGGTGGGTGAGGAGGGCAGAGCGGGAAAGTGAGACAGGACCGAGGAAGGAAATGAATAAAAGGTGTGTTACAAAGCAAATGAGGCTTAGCTCCACTAGGGGGCAGTGCAGATCACGTGTCTCATAGCTCTACCTCCACTGGGGTGAAAGAAATTGGGGCCTATTTATTCAATTGCCATCAGTCACTGATTGAGGATGCTCCTGTGAGGGCATGGTCCAGCAAGTGTGGGAAGCACTGATGGTGCTGCAGTAAATAATTCTTCATCATATTCTAGTTCCATGGCACAAATCTGGTGGAATTAAAACTGACTAAAAGTTATTTTTATTGTATGTGGCGGACAAGATGTGCTGCTCAGACACCCCCCTTTCAAGGCAGTTATGAAGGGGCAATATGGCTAGGCAACAGTGTCTAGTGGTTAGCCACTCAGGGTCCATTTCAGCTTTCCAGCCAAGGTCACGCTCACTAACCTCAGGGGTGGCACCCATCAGTGGCTGAGCAAGGCCATTTATGTTCAACATGGGGCTCCAAAAATGAGCGCTCTCAGGCTGGCAGAGCTTTGTCAGGTTTTCATTATAGTCTGACGGCTCCACCTACCCAATCTGGTTTCTTCTCTTGTCCTTTCACAATAAACCTTATGCACCCCTAACTCCAGGTCACTTTCTGCTTCCTGCGGAGCCCAACCTGTGACACTGTATTTCACGGAGCTTAGGGCATCGTTATTATATGCCACTGCGAAAGGAAAAATGATGCCAATTAAACCATGGCACTCTACGGACTGATAGGGAGTAGCCCTATTTCAGAGATGTGAAAAAACTGTGAGTCCTAAAATCGATAAAATGGCGTAATTAATGACATTGTACTTCAAAGTCCATTTTTAATCTGAGTCACCTAGAAAGATCTCTGGAGGCCTTAATGACCTAAAAGAAGCAGCACATGGATAGACAAATCAGTTGGCCTGCGCTTTGGCTGAAAAATCTCAAGTTGGCCACTCCTATGATCAGGTAGGTTCCATTTGGCTCATACAACCCTTGCTAGGCAAAGGGACAATCAGTGGGTCACCTCTTCTGGCCAATATCAGCTCTAGGGCTGTGGTCCGAAGATTCTCACATCGTGTGGGCAAAGGCAAGGATCAGTGGGGGTGCTGCTGTCCCACTGCCCCTTAAGCAGTCTCCTTTGTGACACATGCACTGGGTCCCCCAGTGCCATGCAGTCACACACCTGAGCACCTGGGGAGGGGGGAGACATTTTGCTTCTATATTCCCCTTTCTGCACGGAGGAAAGATCTGAGCAGAGATCCTCGGAAACAGGAGTGAGGTGATCCTACCTGATTTCTCATTGTAAGCAGCTGCTCTGGAGGAACCCTGCAATAAATAAAAGTGGTTTAAAAAAATTTGTGATTGAATGACTACAGGGTACTGATAACAAATACAGCCTAATAAACACAAAGCAACAACAACCCTGCAAAAACCACTAGGTTTGAGGGGGAAGGGGGACACGTGTTTGTTTAATCTGTGTACCTGACACAGTCAGGTTTCAAGTCTTTGAAATACTAAATGTCCCAGCAAACACTGACCCTGCCCTACTTCCCTGGAGGCCAATGCACTTGTAATTCAGGATGAGAGGAGAAGAGTAGGAGATAAACACTTGAAAAGGCCCAAAGGTCACAGACCAAAATGATCCCAAACTCCCAGAGAGGCTTCCAATCTCCAAAGCCTTGTGGGGTTTCTCTAGACAGAACAGGAGACATGGGAACATGAACCTCATCAGCTACACCTCCCCATCTACCAGTAAGGACCTACTTTCAATTGCTTACTTCATGACACAAGCCTGAACATGGAATTTTCCATTTAAACAAATGGGGTGCCTTTTCTCTATTTCCTTGTTTTCATTCCTCCTCCCACCTCCTCCCCTCATCCTGCAAAGGCAGAATTGTTGTATAAGTAGATACCCAGGTGACATTTTTAAAATATCACCCATCCTCATGTTGACTCTGTTGCTTATATTAGCATACTCTTGATTTCCCACCTCTTACATGGTGCAAGGTAAAAACTTTCACTGGGCTATTAAACCAAAAAAGAATGCCAAGCAAAAACTAAAGACCCGAGGTTTCTAGCTATTACAGGAAGAACTCTCGGTGTGAGGACCGAGGTTCATCGTTTATACACACTTACGTTTTTTACCTTGGAAAAGTCCATCCTCCAGGTCCCTGGGGTCTTTAAACGTTTAAACTCTATTTTGCGTTTCCCAATGTAAACTGTTATTCCCAAATATGGTTGCCTGCTTCTAGGAATGAATTGAAAGGATGCAATAAGCACGGACTAGTGTCTTAGGGAATTTGGTAAGAATACACCATAGGAAGAGTAAACATGATTTCTGACCTTGAGTAGTTTTCAATTTCACTGGTGAAGATGCACACATTGTTTTTGCTCCTGTTGTTGCTGTTGACCTGCCATCCTTTACAGAGAGGTTCCGGTTGAAACCGTAAGGGCAGTTCAGAGAAGGAAAAGAGCTATATGGACAACAGCAGGGAAAGCTTTACAGAGGAGGTGAGGGCAGAGCCAGGCCTTGAAGGACGCGGAGCAAGCTTTTATATATCTAGAGGAGGTGGAGAATACCAAGAGGTAATGAGCACAGCTTTAAAAAAGAGGGCGGGGGGGGGTTGCGCCTGGGTGGCTCGGCTCAGTCATTAAGCCTCCGCCTTCGGCTCGGGTCATGATCCCAAGGTCCTGGGATCGAGCCCTGCATCGGGCTCCCTGCTCGGCGGGAAGCCTGCTTCTCCCTCTCCCACTCCCCCAGCTTGTGTTCCTGCTTTTGCTATCTCTCTCTCTCTGTCAAATAAATAAAAATTTAAAAATTAAAAAAAAAAAGGAGGGCGGGGCGCCTGGGTGGCTCAGTTGGTTAAGCATCTGCCTTTGGCTCAGGTCATGATCCCAGCGTCCTGGGATGGAGCCCCGCATCGGGCCCCTTGCTCAGTGGGGAGCCTGCTTCTCCCTCTCCTCCCCACTCGGGGTCTCTCGCTATCTCTATCTCTCTCTCTCAAATAAATAAACAAAATCTTTTAAAAAATGAGGAAAAACCAGCCTTAGGAGTGAGTGAAGCCCCTGGAGAATATTTGAAGAAAGAGGAGGCTGTGCTTATACCACTGGAGGGCGTGTGTCACTGACTTTGTGATAAACATCCTTGATCAAATTAGAAAGGAGACTACCTGGAGAAAAATGAGAAACTCTGCGAAAACACATCCTAAGATTCTCCATCCACCAGGGAGGAATTAAAGACTGAATTTTTGGGAGAATGCCGATGAAAATGCTTAAAGATACAGTTGCCCGCCCTTGTCACCCACATAGCTGCCTTGAGGCCTTGGAAATGATTTCTAATGCCTTTGTTGCAGAAAACTTTTGCTCCACTATCTACAGCAGCAAAGCACTATTATTCTTACAGGTCAGGAAAAGCAGGAAGTCCGGTAGAATCCTAAAATGAGGGGACAAGATACATTTTCACCTCCAGAGGGCACTGCTGCTTTCAAAAAAGAAGGACAACTTCCGTGTCTGCTTGGCTGTGGCGCCCAGTGGGCTTTTGTTTTAGATGCTATTGTACTTGTTTTTCCCTTCAGACCTGGGGATGATCCTTGAAGCCCTAGGGAGAGACTTGGTCGTGGGGGCAGCATTCATTTAACACCCCCCAAAATAAAAAGAAGGAGCATAGTGCCCCGTTCAGTCTCTTCCGCCTTTTTTTTTTTTTTTTTTTTGAGAGAGAAAGAGCAAGCACATGGGGGCGGGGGCGGGAGGCATAGGAAGAGGGAGAGAGAGACTCTTAAGCGGTGGCCACGCTCAGCTCGGGGCCCCACCCAGGTCAAAGCTCCAACTCACCAGCTGCAAATATGACTCCCATGCCTATCTCTAGGCTATGCTTCTCCTGATCCTCAATTTTCAACTCTCCCTGAGCTGAGATCAAGTGTCGAAAGCTTAACTGATTGAGCCACCCAGGAGCCCCCTAAATCACTTTCAAATATGCCCCTATCCTCCTTTCCCACTGACACCATTTCATTTCTGGGCCTCAGAGCCTCTTGCCATACATTCTTCTTAAGGATTGAGATGTATCCAATTTTACATCCTATTGTTTGAATAGGTGTAATGTTTACTGGTTCAAATTTAGAAAAACTTGAAACTCTCCCTCTTACGCCCCCCCCCCACTACCCTTCCTTCCCAGATGCAATCAGTGTCATTAGCTTCTCCTGTATCCTTCCAGAGGCATTTTTACACACAAGGTAGCGTCTTTCACACACTCTTCGGCATCTTGCCTTTCTCATGTCATGTATCCTAGAGATCTTTCCATGTTAGCACGTAAAGAGCTTCTTCATTCTTCTTACTGCTCTTTGCATTCCATTGTATAGATGCACCATAAGCTGTTAAACTTTTAGGTCCCCCTATTTATGGACATTTAAGGAGTTTCCAATCTTCTGCTATTGTAATAAAGGCTGTAAAGAACAACTTTGTACATAGGTCACTTCACACAGGTGTTAACTGATCAATGGGCATAAACTTTTAAAAATATGGCTACTAAGGGGCGCCTGGGTGGCTCAGTTGGTTAAGCGACTGCCTTCGGCTCAGGTCATGATCCTGGAGTCCCGGGATTGAGTCCCACATCGGGCTCCCTGCTCAGCGGGGAGTCTGCTTCTCTCTCTGACCCTCTTCCCTCTCGTGTTCTCTGTCTCTCATTCTCTCTCTCTCTCTCAAATAAATAAATAAAATCTTTAAAAAAAAATATGGCTACTAAAATACTTGAAATGACATATGCCCCACCCATTCTATTTCTTTTGATCAGCACTGATCTAGACCCTTCCTCTGTCCCCTCTCATCTCCTCCAAGGCCAATTGCTCCCTCTCTGCTTCAGACCACAGGGCTTCTAGCGCCTCAGACGTTCCCCACCTCTCACTCTTCTTAAGAGTCTGCTTCAGACTTACTCCTGGAGGCCGTAAGAGATTTTGCTTCCTTATTCACAAGTCCACCTTCCCTTACCAGCCTCTGAGGGCAGGGCCTCTCATCTTTCTTGCCTAGGACACAGGGGCATTACCCAGGTCAGTACCGTCAGCCAAACCAAGGAAAGTCCCAAGAGCCAGTCTTAACCAAAGGATAGAGTTGGAGGGAGGTCACTGGTGGCCCTATCATAATGCAGGCGAACCAATTCAAATTTTAAGAGGAATGTGGGTACGTTTCACCTGCGTTCAGAGTGTGAATTACATTTTCGCTGCAAATAATAGTAAGAAGAAGAAGAATGTAAAGGAATCATAAACACAGGAGAAACTTAATTTGACTTAAACCTCTGAGCCGTCCCCACCCTCACAGGGGACACCTGGCCCTGGGAACCCGCTTCTCGCCCGCCCCGCCTGACCCCGCAGGAGAGAAGCGGCAGCGACAGTTCCCACCAACGCCCGGGGCGCGGGTCGGAGGCCCGGGGCCTGGACCTACTCACCCGACCGACCGCCGCAGGAAGGGCGCCCGAGAGGAGGTAGGGAGCGGCTCTGCCTGGCACGGGGAGGGATTTCGGGGAAAGCGAAACTGAAACTTTGCGGCCCAGGACTGTGGGGCGCCGCTCCGCCCCACTGTCCCCGGAGCCCGACGCCCAGAGCTATGGCCTCGACCCTCCGCCCGCCGTCCCCGCTGCTCGTGCGGGTGTCTGAGTCCTGCCCGCTCACACGCTGGAAGCTGGAAATCTACTTCCAGAGCCGGAGGTCCGGCGGCGGGGAGTGCACCGTCCATCCCCTCTACCACAGGGACCGGGTCATCTTCCTGGTGAAGTTCATGGAAAGGGCAGGTGAGCCACGGGGCCAGGGCTGCGAGTGCCAAGGAGCCTGGCCCCGCGGGATTCCAGGCAGACCCAGCTCATGCTGACCTAGGAGAGATGGCGGGAGAAAGTATGGCACCGTCTGATGGGGACAGGAACCGGGGGCTGCTGCTGCCTAAAGACACAGCCCAACGGGGAGGATAGAGCCCAGAAGCGCCCAGTCCGTGATCTGGTCTGACCACACTGTAAAGTTGATGCTTTCCAGGATCCTCACCCTAGCTCAAATTTCTCAGGTCTGGGAAGGACACCTTTCCCTCCCCCCAGACACCTGTATGGAAACTCTGGTCATTTAGGTACTCCATTTTTATGTTTTAATTATTCCACTCGTTTGTTCTTGAGAATTACAAAAGTAATATATGCTCACTATAGCCAAGTGGGAAAAGAATAAAGAAAACCACCTGGAGATAAACAATATGGCACATTTCTTTGCAGCCTTTTTCTATGAAAGTCAGTCAACATATGTTTACAAAATTCTGAGGCTGTACCTTTGATGCCTGCTCTTTTCACTTAACTTCATATAATGAGTATTTTTCCATATCATTGAAATGGGAAACTGGAGACAGTTTCAGAAACATGACTTTTAAAGAGTGTATCCCATGATCAGGAGCTTTTCATTCCTACAGTAACACATAAGCTGGGGGCTCCTGGGTGGCTCCATTGGCTAAGCGTCTGCCTTCGGCTCAGGTCATGATCCCCGAGTCCTGGGATCGAGCCCCACATTGGGCTCCTTGCTCAGTGGGGAGTCTGCTTCTCCCTCTGCCCCTCCCCACCGCTCATGCTCTCTCTCTCTCTCTCAACTAAATAAATAAAATCTTCAAAAACAAACAAAAACATAAGCTGCCCACTTTAGAGTTTGAATAGTTCCTCCACAGTGCCCTGTCACCAACCCATCATTCCAGGATGCAGGGAGCAGCCTTCTTGGGAAGCTGCTGGGGCAGGGTAGGGATGCATGGATAAGAGGTTTATTTAAAGTCTTTCCCATGTGTATGTGTATCTGTAATGTCTCCACTGAAGCTAAAGAGGGAGTCTTGAAGAAAGAAAAGCATCAGATTACGATTGACAACAAACTTGTGACTATTTTTCTGGAGCCCACTGAGAATCCAATGGAGAGGAATGCAAGACCAAGAATGTCTTCGTTGCCACAGTCACAGGAAGGGGTGAGTTCTGGTGAGAAGCATCAAAACGAAGAATATATTCCTGATGTTATGGATTCCTGTCTCCAAAAGGTAAGGATTGAAAGAGGAGGGGTGGTATGTTCTTACGCCTTCCACTCCATTCACCATACCTTTCATTATTGATCCAACCACCACTTGCTGATGACTTACTAGGAGGCAGGCCCTCTTTTGGGCATTGGGACACAGAAGTGAACACAATAGACAAGGTCCCTGCTGGGTGGGGAAGTACATAGAAAGACAACAAGCAAGTAAACAAGATAAATGAAACAATTTCAGGTAGTGATATGTGCTAAGAAGAAAATAGAATAGGGTTTTGCCTTAGAGGGTGACAGGGCCAAAGTGAGGAAGGGGAAGGAGGTGATGCTGCTTCTGACCAGAAGTCAGAGACAACTTCTCTGAGAAGGTAACATTTGGCCTGAGACTTGAGTGATGAGAAGGAGCCAGCCATGTAGTAGTTTGGCAAATCAATATCAACTTCCTGTCGTGTGCCAGGCACAGTCACAGGAACTGGGGATATAGCCAGGAGCATAGACCCTGCTCTCAGGGACCTTACATTCTAGTGAGCGAAACAGATAATGATAGTAAAAAAAAAAAAATAGATATGTAAAAAATGTCTGCCAGTGATAAATGCTAGGAAGAAGAATAAGACGGGATAGGTGATAGACAGAGACATATCTTTTTTTTTTTTCAGACCATTATTTTAAATAAAATACCAAGGAGAACCTCTCAAATGGGGTAATGTTTGAGTAGAGACATGAATGAAGTAAGGGAGCTAGCTAAGTGAGGTAAGAATGTTTGAGGCAAAGGGAAGCACAAGTGCAAAGGCCCTGAGACACAAGCTTCTATCCTAAACCCCAGGGGCTTCAAGGAGGGAGACCATTGTGGCTAGAAGGCAGTAGGGAAGAGAGAGAATGACAGGCGAGGAACAGGGAGAGGTAGCCAGAAGTCAGGTCTTTGGGGGATGAAGGTAGGGACTTTGGATTTTAACTTCAATCTTGGGGGATTCATCCGATGGTTTTGAGCCAGGGGACTGGGGTGATCTGGTTTACACTTCTAGAGGTTCACTTGGGCTGCTGTGTGGAGGACTGAGTGTAAGAATGGGGCCAGAGTGGAAACAGGGTGAGAGCCCAGTTAGGAGGGGTTGTGGCAGGCCAGGAGCAAGATGACAGTGGCTTGGACTCTGGGTGGTCCTGACGGGGGTGTGAGAGGTGGCTGGATTGGGGAAACATCTGAAGGAAGATCTGGATGAAGGATGTTAACATTCGGAGGAAAGAACATGTGCGAAAACCTTGAGGAGAACAAAACATAGAAATCTTGCTTTTATATTACATTCAGTTTGCATCTGTCCTTTTTAGCTTAATCTGGCGTTTTTATTCCTATATTTGAGCTTCCAAAGGACAGGACTTAGAGGGCCTAGCAATACTGCATGCAGTTAGGTATTTAGTTTAAAAAAGGGGGGGGGTACTGAACACGAGAAAAAACAGCAAATAGGAAAACACATCCTCTTCAGATTTATGGCTCCCCTCGAAGCTCACAGACTTGTGTGAGAACCACAGCAACTTGCCCAGAAAGCAGACGTGCCTTCCCTCCACCCCATTCCCCGAGAGCGGAGAGAGCGGACGGCTCTAGAATCCAGACTTTTTGTCCACATTACTTTTTAAATATGCTCGTGCCCAGGCTCTATATTTACAACAGAATCTCTGGAGATGTACCTGGGCCTTGGCTTTTCTGCCTGTTTGTTTTTCTTTTGTTTTGTTTTAATTCCCCAGGTGATTCTAATGTGCAGACAGAGCTGAGAACCTCTAGGCGTAGCATGCTGCATCCTCTGCAAAAAGGATTTGAAAGAAGTCACCTTCTGGTTGTTTCTCTGGTCTCTAGGCATTGTCTTGATAGGAGACTGTACGGCTGACATCTGAGAGCTTGTATTTGTTCCTTTTAAAATTTCAGATCTTTCTTAGTGTCACGGCGGACCTGAACTGTAACCTGTTCTCTAAAGAGCAGAGGGAACACATAACCACTATCTGCCCCAAGGTCAAAAAGATGGAAGGGGATGATGGAATTGAGAAGGTGTGTGGTACCTTTGGAGATATTGAAAAAATACATCATTTCTTGAAGAAGCAACTCCAGGAAAGTGGGCACAAACATGAATCTTCCCCTTTGACAATAGAGAGCGAGCCACTCCATCAGCAGAACCAAAACAGCTGTGTTTCTCCCTTCGAACCAAAAACCAGGGCAGAAGACAAAAGCAACCGTCTTGAAATTCCCTTGCCTTTCTTTGAATACTTCCAGAATACCTATCCTGATAAAATAGACTCAGTACAGAGAAGATTTGGTGTAAAAATAAAAATAAATCAGGAGAGTTCTCTGAATACTGTCTATTTAGACTTCACCTCCAATCAATCAGGTGACCTCAAAGCCGCTAGCGAGTCTTTTGTCAGTGAATTTCAGAAAACCGTAGGATCTCTGGAGCAGAAATGTGTTGCTTTCGCAGACAGTGAGCAGGCAAATAGGATCAAACAAGAATTGAATCAACGGTTTACAAAGCTCCTTATAAAGGAGAAAGGAGGAGAATTAACTCTCCTGGGGACCCAAGATGACATTTCAGCTGCCAGATATATTTTTGCCCTAAAAGCCTCTGAAAGTCTTGTCATGGGACCTGTGAAAATATCGACTCCCAAATGCATGATGAATGAAATTGAGGTTGACACTGCTCACTATCTGCTTGTAAAAGCTGAATTACTCCAGGAGATGACAGAGATAGGAGAAAAGTACAATACTCAATGTCAGGTTTGGAAAGACACTAAGAAAGTCCACATTCTATTTGAACCTAAGGACAAAGAATTTGATCTGTCTGCCCATGCTTATGCAAGTTTCATTGATGCCTATCAACATGTGTCAAGTCAGCTGATGAGAGAAGTTCTTTCACTGAAACCTCTGGGCAAAATGAGAAAGCGCTTACATCAGACCAAGTTGGCTGATGACTTTAGTAAAAACCATCCTCATGTACACTCTGTACTAAATCAAGAGTCAATGACTTTGACTGGGTTGCCAGATCACCTTGCAAAGGCAAAGCAGTATATCTTTAAAAAAGTGGGAATGTCCCCATTAGCTGGAGATAAAAGGAATGAGGACGAAGAAACACCCATGGACATTGATAGTAATGATTCAAAAATCACTTCATCAACATTCCAGCGCTCTGCCAGTTCTGGGGTGTCGGGAGTGGACGAGGAAGAGGAGGTATGTAGCATCTGTCTCGACATCATCAGTAACAAACAAGTGCTATCCAAGTGCAAGCACGCATTCTGCACCTCTTGTATCAACAAAGCCTTGTCCTATAAGCCGGTCTGTCCTGTGTGCCAGACTTCCTATGGTATCCAGAAAGGCAATCAGCCAGAGGGGACCATGACTGTCACTGTCCTGAGAGACGCACTTCCAGGTTATGAATCCTGTGGCTCCATTGTGATTGAATATAACATGAAAGGAGGCATACAAACAGTAAGTGTTTCTGAGCATTCTTTCCAGTATGCTAGAATTACCAGAGCAAGAGACTGTTATGGTGCCGATTACTGGATATCCCAGGGAATTATTTCCATGTATATTTCCATATGCAAGGGCTTTAAATAGGAATAATAATAATATCAGTAATAAAGGTAGCAATGTTTGCTTATAACTTAGGTATCTTTTGTGTCTGTTAAGTCAGAGAAAGAGTGGTGGTGCTTATGTGTTAGAATGGGGCAAATCAGAAGATGGATAGTGTTTCCAGCATGAATTTAGGGAAAGAGAGAAATATGAATTATTGGGAATATGTGCGAACCTTTCTTTCTTTCTTTTTTTTTTTTTTTTTGGTTTGCTCTGTCTGCAAATGAGCACATCTATCTGGGTAGTAAAATTTAGACTTGGGAGTGTTTTCATGTGATACTTTCTTGTCTTCGTACAGGAAGAGCACCCAAACCCAGGAAAGAAATACTCTGGAGTACAACGAAGAGCATACTTGCCTGATAATGAGGAAGGAAATGAGGTTTTGAGACTGCTTCGTAGGGCCTTTGACCAAAAGCTGATTTTCACAGTGGGGGATTCTCGAGCACAAGGAGTGTCCAATGTGATCACATGGAATGACATCCACCACAAAACGTCCCGTGTTGGCGGACCACAAATGTGAGAACCTTCTGAAACATAATGATTGCTAAACAGGATTTAGAGGTTGTAAGATATGGCAGTTTGAGGAGGTGGCTAGAAGGAGACTTTATAGCAGTAAAGTATTTTTTGAAGTAAAGTTGACATACAATGTTACCTTAGTTTCAGGTGTACAACAGTTGATTTGACAATTCTATACATTACCCAGTGCTCACCACAGTAAGTATAGTTACCATCTGTCATTTATTTTACAATTGGAAGTTTGTGTCTTTTAGTACCCTTCACCTCTTTTGCCTGTCCCCCCAACTCTAGCCCCCTTTCCCCTAGCAACCACCAGTTTGTTCTCTGTATTTATGAGACTGTTTCTATGGGTGTGTGTTTTGTATTTTAGATTCCACATGTAAGTGAAGTCATATGGTATAGTTCTTTCTCTGACCTATTTCACCCAGGGTAACAACTTCTAGATCTATCTATGTTGTTACGAATGGCAAGCTTTCAACCTTTTTTATGGCTTAGTATTTTTCGATTATATATATATATATATACACACACACACACACACATACACAAATACACATATATATATACACACACATATATGTAATATATATGTAATCTTCTTAACCCATTTATCTATAGATAGACACTCAGGTTGCTTCCGTAGCTTGACTATTGTAAATACTGTTGCAATAAACATAAGAGTGCATATATCTTTTCGAACTTTGGGTAAATACCCAGCGGTGGAATTACTGGATGATACAGTATTTCTGTTTTTGACTTTTTGAGGAACCTCCATACTGTTTTCTACAGTGCCTGCACCAATTCACATTCTCACCAACAGTACATGAGGGCTTGCTTTTTTGCACATCCTTGTTAACACTTGTTTCTTGTTTTTTTTGATACTAGCCATTCTGACAAGTGTGATGTGATATCTCATTGTGGTTTTGATTTGCATTTCCCTGATAATTAGTGATATTGGGCACCTTTTCATGTGTATGTTGGCCATCTGTTATGTCTTTTTTGGAAAATGTCTATTCAGATTCTCTGCTCATTTTTAAATCAGGTTATTTGTGGGTTTTTTGGTGTTGAGCTATAATGAGTTCTTTATATATTTTGGATATTAACCTCTTATCAGATTTATCATTTGCAAGTATCTTCTCCCATTCAGTAGATTGCCTTTTTGTTTTATTGCAAAAGCTTTTTAGTTTGATGTAGTCCCAACAGTTCATTTTTACTTTTGTTTCTCTTGCCCAAGGAGCACATCCAGAAAAAAGTTGCTAAGACCAATGCCCCGGAGATTACTACCTGTTTTCTTTTAGGAGTTTTCTGGTTTCAAGCCTTACATTTAGGTCTTTAATCCATTTTGAATTTGTTTTCGTGTATGGCTTAAGAAAGTGGTCCAGTTTATTCTTTTCCATGTAGCTATCCAGTTTCCCCAGCACAATTATTGAAGAGATTGCCTTTCCCATTATATATTCTTGCCTCCTTTGTGGTAGATGAATTGACCATATAAGTATGGGTTTATTTCTGAGCTCTCTATTCTGCTCCATTGATCTATGTGTTTGTTTTTGTGCTGGTACCATGCAGTTTTGATTACTATAGATTTGTGGTATAGTTTAAAATCTGGAATTGTGATACCACCAGCTTTGTTCTTCTTTCTTAAGATTGTTTTGGCTATTTGGGGTCTTTTGTGATTCCATACAAATTTTAGGATTAAGTGTTGAAGTTCTATGAAAAATACTATTGGTAATTTGAGAGGGATTGCACTGAATCTGTAGATTGCTTTGGATAGTATGGAAATTTTAACAATAGTAATTCTTCCAATCCATGAGCATGGTATATTTTTTAATTTGTTTGTGTCATCTTGAATTTCTTTCATCAGTGTCTTATAATTTCTAGAGTACAGGTCTTTCACCTTCTTGGTTAAATTTATTCCTAAGTCTTTTATTCTTTTTGATGCAATTGTAAATGAGATTGTTTTCTTAATTTCTCTTTCTGCTTTGTTATTAGTGTATAGAAATACAGCAGATTTGTGTATACTAATTTTATCATGCAACTTTACTGAATTCATTTATTAATTAAGGTAAAGTATTTTGAGAGATGCTAGTCTGGAATGATAATATCATAAGGCAGAAATATTGGTTCTATCATCTTCTACCTTCCAAACCACAAAATGTCACATAGGTACTAAATTTTGCATTAAAGGGAGGGAACTTCAGAATCTAGGATGAATGGTATCTAAGGTGATTTAATTTGGGGTTTCCTGTCTATTCAGAAGATAGATCCTAGCAATATTATTTACTTTGCCTTCTTTTAAAATCACCCTTTCTTTTACCCTCCCCTCCCAATGGTCCATAGAGATTCTAAATTCCCTTGGCCAATAGTACTCTAGGAAAAGTCTCAGTTAATGGTGGTGGAAGTTGTATTATAGGTAATCCAATTTTTTTTTACTTGCTCTTTATGAAATTCAAATAGAATGCCTCAGACCCTTAGTATTCAAAAGGGAATGCATCCGGAGACTTTTGAAAATTTCCCAAATTAGAAAATTCTCCTGTAGAATGTGATTACCCTCCATAATATATAGTGTAGTATGACTTTAGGAGAGTCACTGCTTACCATGAGCTGAAAATTTTTTAAAAAGTCTTATTGGAAGGCGGATCCTGGGCAGACAGCTAGGCTCACTTACCAGCTAAATGGCTCACATCTGCACACTTACAAGTGACTGTAAGTCATCTGCCTTCAGGATTGTTTTTGAATGTTTGCAACACTGAATGTTAATGCCAGGGATCTACTGTAAAGATTTAAGAGCATTTATGAAGAAGCTAAGGGGCTTTTTCCTTCTGCAGGTATGGCTACCCTGATCCTGGTTATCTGAAACGTGTCAAACAGGAGCTGAAAAATAAAGGAATTGAGTAAGAAGACTGCTGGAGGGCTGTCTTGAGCCAAGCTTTCAAAAAACACAGTTGAAGAGACGCCTTTTAAAATTTTTCATCTCAATGAGGCATGTGGGTGGCTCAGCCAGTTAAGCATCTGCCTTCGGCTCAGATCATGATCCCAGGGTCCTGGCGCTGAGTCAGGCTCCCTGCTCAGCGGGGAGCTTGCTTCTCCGTCTGCCCCTCCCTCTGCTTGTGCTCTCTCTCTCTCTCTCTCTGTGTCAAATAAACAAATAAATAAATAAATCTTAAAAAATTTTTTTTCATCTTAAGAAGTGGTCTGTGTAAGAGTAAGAATGTGCTAGTCTGTCATTTCTGGAGTGTTACTTTTTATGGAAGATAAAAGCTCCAAAGATTTGTGTGATTTTGTAGGTGTTGTGCCTCATTCTTGGGTCATCTTTGGTGGGGGGGAGGGGGTGGAGTGCTGTGGGTCTGAAATCATCTTCTGTGTTCTTCATTTGAAATAGTAGCTGTCAATTGATCCTTTTTATTGCCATCTCTGAGGTAGCCTTTTGTTTTTTTGTTTGCTCCTTAAGTACCCTAAAAGTAAAATCCTAATGTGAAGGGGGGATGGGGCTTTGGTTATGGAAAATTAGAGACACACATTCCCCTCCCTCCCTCATGGCCAGAAAAATGGCCAGAAGCAGAGATTGGGCAACCTTTGGTAATAAATGGAGTAAGGCTGTTCTTTTTCACAATACAGAGCCTGATACACAGTTGGTGCTTCATAATTTTTTGCTGCCTGACTTCAGGTTGCTAATAGCCCAGCAAAGGGATATATGTTCCCTAAATCTTTGACAGAGGCAAGAGTTAGGAAGCCATTCCTGGAGACATCACCACTGATTTGGAAAACTGAGTTTCTTACTCCAGAACACTTAGCCTCTGAACTCTGAACTCTGAGCTTTGACCAGGCCTCTAATTTGGTCCTTGCTCCCTCCTGATTCTTAAAATCTGCCATATGGGGTACATTTTCCCTGTCATACTAATGCTACATGTTTCTGAACATTTTTTCCTATGGATATTACTGTACTTTTTAAGTATACCCTGCTTCCAGTTGAACAGTTAAATAAGCTTACTTTAGTTTCCATAGACCATCACTTTCTCCGTAGTGTAGCCCCCACCATAGTAGTTTTTCCATTCTTTTACTAAAGTCCCACCAAGTCCTGTTTTCTCCCTTAAAATCTCTCTCCATAATACTCTCTGTGGACAAGAGACAAGGCAAGTTGAGCCTACTCTTAGGAATATATGGCATGTCAAAATGTACTTTTAAATGGTTCTCTAAGTCTGAAGAAAATTATGCTAGTAAACTATCTGGTTATCCATGTCCCAGCCTCTCTCCAAAGAAGATGAACAAGAAGTCTTTTTCTTTTCCTAAGGATACACATATACACATGTATACATTTGTTAATCAGATAGTAATGGCTAATGTTTATTATGGATTTATTTTATCCTCTTTATAAGAGCTTTGTATCTGCGATTAATACTATTAATGCTATCCCCATTTTATAACTGAGAAAACTGATGCATAGAGAGGTAGTAAGTACATTGACAAAGGTCACATAGTTTATAAGTAGAAGTGCTGGGATTTGAAGAAGATTGTCTGGCCCCAAGCTTCCACACCCCAGAGCTACCCTGCCTCCTACAGGGGACTTCTCCATGGAGCTGGCTAAGGAGTTCCCATTATTCTGGCTTTCTCTCAGAAATGGACTCCTGTACAGTGCTCAAAGTAGATTTCTTCCAAGGAGGTCCTATTTGAAGAACTTAAAAAACCAGAATCTTCTCCTTTGTCCAGAGAGTTAAGGAAGCTTAAGTTAAGTGATAGGTCTTTTTTTAAAAATCAGATTATACCTTTAGTTTTTGATGATTCATTAAATTCTTTACTGTTATGATTTTGTGTCTACTGATGTTTTAGCTGAATTTGCTTCAAAAAAGCAACAGTCTGGTGGTTCCTGCTAAGTTCCGGATCCTTGATTGCAATGTGTGTGCAAAGGCAAGTTTCATGGTGAGAGTGGTTGGTGAGCCTTTGGATTACTGCTCTCGTTCTGTGGAAGGTATTATCATCTGTATCTGCTTTAAATAAAGTTATATCTGGGGGCGCCCAGGGGGGTGCCTTCAGCTAAGTGTCTGACTCTTGATTTCGGCTCAGTCATGATCTCTCTGTCATGGGATGGAGCCCCGAGTAGGGTTCCAAGCTCAGCAAGGAGTCTGCTTGTCCCTCTCCCTCTGCTCCTCCCCCACGTGCCCCTGCTGGCTGGCTCTCCCTCTCTCTCAAATAAATTCAATAAATAAATAAATAAAATCTTACAAAGAAAGAAAGTTATATCCATATAGGAACAGACTGTCTGTGTTGTCCCCGTACTCCTTCTTTCTCTTCCCCTAGGATGAGATTCTGGGAGTTCTCTACAACCCCAACCGTGTACAGCAATATACCATGTGTGCAGATGTCTGCAGCTGATTTTGTGTGTAGCTATTTGCTAAGCAGCATCGTAGTAAAATGTAACAGGATTGACTTCACTACCACCAATTTCAGCTGTGAAAATCACATTCCTTAGTATTTTTTCTCCTTAACACATAGGTTACTACAAGATAAAAGTAGGCTACAGGCTTCATCTCTTCTCTCCTTCTGGAGAAAGTGGATGCCATACCCTATCAAACTGCACTTGCCCCCTCCTTGCTCCTAGAGGTTTTCTTTGGTTTTTTTTTCCCCACCTTTCTAGCATCAGTGCTGGATTACCCAGATAGCTCACTGGGTACCAGCAAATCAGGGCACCTTCTCTCTGAAGGAAAAAGAGAATTGAAAACAGTATTAAGACATTTGAGGTTTTTCTAAAGATAGAAAGCTTCTACATCCAATTTCCATGTGTGGGTTTTCCCTCCATACATCCAAGCAATTCTCTGACACCAGTTGGGGGTCCTATAATTCAACTCAATTCTGACATACTCTACCCAGAGACAGCGTCGGATTCCACAGGCTAATGGGGCTGCATCCCCACAAGATTTCCTTCCACTTCGGATGCCAAAAGCAAGCGTAGGATGTTACCTGTGCTTCTGGCTGAATGGCTATAAATCTCTGGTTCCCCATAACCCCCTCCTTGGGTTTGCTAATTTGCTAGAGCGGCTCACAGAACTCGGGAAGCCAGTTTACTCATTACATCACTGGTTTATTACAAAAGCATGTAACTCATCAATTTCCAGATGGAAGAGATGCATAGGGCAAGATATGGGTAAAGGGCATGGAGCTTCCACGGCCTCCAAGCAAACCACTATGCCCAAATCTCCACCTGTTCACTCCCCTGGAAGCTCTTCAAACCCTATCCTTTTTTGGGATTTTATGGAGACTTCAAAACATAGGTACGATTGATCAGATCTCCAGTCATTTGTGATTGAAGTCAACCTCCAGCATCCCCGCCTCCCCAGAGATCAGGGGATGGGACTGAAAGTTCCAACCCTCCGATCATGTAGTTGATTCCTCTGGCAACCATCCTTAGGTCATCTCACTAACAAAAGACATCTTTATCACTCTCAGCCATTAGGAAATTGCAAGGCTTTTAGGAGCTCTGTGCCAGAAACAGGGACGAAGACCAAATATATATTTCTTATTATAAATCACAATACAGAGAGCACGAAAGCAGTCCTTAAGAGAAAAACCAAACCCTTGTTGGGCTGCCTTACACTCATCTTATGGATTAGTACTGTTTTTACTTTGATTTCCCTATGGGAGTTGGGCACTATTTCCTTTACTACTGATTGGGGTCCTGAGTCCTCCAAAGCACAGAGCCTTAAGACAAAGATCAATTGTTAACAATTTTGGGGCGGAGATGCGAGCCCACGTCAGGGAAGATAAGGACAAACAAAAAGGGAAGCCAGGCAAACTAAGAAGCAATGCAATGCAATGCAGGTTACCACCCTGGCCAGAGAGAGCCTTGAAAAGATCTAGCACGTCACTCAGTAGGTTCATTTGCTTGGCATATGTGTTGAAAGAGACTGTAGAAAGCATTTTAAACGTCTTATTTCATAGAGGAGGAAACTCAGTTTTATTTCCTGGGAAAACAACAGACAGTGTAAAATCTATTACATTTATAGCACATTAAAATGTGGCCCTAGTGTGGCACCTTTTACGTCTCCCTATCCTGCACCCTGCATATCCATCATCACCAGCCCTATCTCTCCTTCCCTTCAAATCTCACTGCCCACTTGGCTTCTTCATAGTTCTTTCGCCAGAATGAATAAAATACCGTCTACCGACTCTCTGTCCCCATCCCTCCTTCCTCAGGTCCCTTCAAACTGCCTTTTGAAAAACAGTAGCTCTGGGGCCCCTGGGTGGCACCGTCGGTTAAGCGTCTGACTCTTTGTTTCAGCCCAGGTCGTGGTCTCAGTGTTGTGAGATGGAGCCCTGCATCGGGCTCTGTGCTGCTTCAGATTCTCTCTCTCCCCCTCTGCCCTTCCTGCTCGTGCTCTCTTTCTCTCTCTAAAATAAATAAATAAATCTAAAACTTATATTTAAAAAAAAGAAAGAAAAACAATAGCTCTGATCTCATCATCTTTCTGAAATATGCCTTCAGTAACTCCCTGATGCCTACAGCAAACTTGATCTTGGGTCAGAATCACTGGAGGGATCAATAAAACACAGATAGCTAAGACCCACCCCCACCAGAGTTTCTAACCGTGTGGATGTGAGATTGCACCCCAGAATTTGCATTTCTGATAAGTTCCAGGTGATGTTGATGCTGCTGGTCTGGGCACCACATTTTGAGGATCACTGGCTTAGAATATAAAGTTCAAATGTCACAGCACGGCCCTCAGGGATTTCTCATTCTATTTTGCTCACCTCATGTCCTGTCCTCTTCACCAAGCCCCCATGGTCCACTCACACCAGACTATCAACTTTTCCAAGCCACTGTCTATACCTTGCTTCTTCTGGCCTTTTCTCTACCTGTCCTCTCGGGAATGCCCCTCTGCCTCATTTTCCACTTAGAAATGTCCTACTCTTCATTCCAGGTCTCACCCGAATGCCACTACTGTGGGAACTTTCCTTCAATCTTGTCTTCAAATTTTGAATCCCTTATTTTCTTGTGTTCCTAATACTTTATACATATCTTTATTAATGTGATATCAAAATCCACTGCCTTGGGACTGCATCAGTTCCATCCTGTGCCCTGATTGCTGGTTGAGTTCAGCAATGCAAAGTACCAGGAAGGTAGGGGGAGCAAGTGGGAACTTATTTGGGGAACCTATTTCCCTCGCTGTCTCCAGAAAGTAGCCATGGCTTCCCTGGAATGGCTCTCTTCTATAGGCAAATGGCTCTTTCCAGGTTTGGAGCTGCTGCCTCCGCCCCTCTGGCCAACTTAGTAGTCTTTAAGTTTTAGCAAGCACCTTTAGGCCACGTGATTGATTAACTAAACCTTTTTTTTGTGTATCTATCATGCACTGTTTTCTAGAAAGACCTAGAACCAAACACACTTGCACAGCACCCCCCACCCTCCCCCCCCCCCCCCCCCCCCCCCCCCCCCCCCCCCCCCCCCCCCCCCCCCCCGCCCGCACCAATACACAACCTCCCAGCACAGTGATAACAGCTCGTTGGTAGCTGGTGCCACTGAGTCTGCAAGGAATCAAGAAGAGTTACAGACCACTGTGCTCCCCTTTTCACCGATTAATTGCCCTAATTTTTTTTTCTTTTAAAGATTTTATTTATTTATGACAGAGAGAGCAAGAGAGCACAAGCAGGGGGAGCAGTAGAGGGAGAGGGAGAAGCAGGCTCCCTGCTGAGTTAAGAAACCTCTAGGGGCGCCTGGGTGGCTCAGTCCTTAAGCGTCTGCCTTCAGCTCAGGTCATGATCCCAGTGTCCTGGGATTGAGCCCCGCATCGGGCTTCCTGTTCTGCGGGAAGCCTGCTTCTCCCTCTCCCACTCCCCCTGCTTGTGTTCCCGCTCTCGCTCTGTCTCTCTCTGTCAAATAAATAAATAAAATCTTAAAGAAAAGAAAAGAAACCTCTAAGTTGGGTTTTGGACAAGAGTCTGCCTTCTCCCCAGGTGGCCGACCTCCTGAAAAACCTCGTATTCCTTTCCAACCAAAACTCTCTTGAGTACTGGCCTTTGGAGCACAGTGCGGCTGAACTTGCCTTCAGGTAACAGGCTCAGTACAGTCTTCCCTTGCCCCTTCAGCCTACGCGGTAAAGGGAGAGGGAGGCTGCTTCGCCATTTCTCAGTGGTTTCCCTTAATCCTTCGCCTCCACCTATAAAGGTAATTCCTTTATTAAACTCTCTTCGATTACCCACTTTGAGTATACAGGCTGCCCAAACTCCTTTTCAAAAGTTCGCCTTTACTGCCACTTTGCTTTTGTGACAGAAATCCGAAGAGTATTTCAGACTTTGCCTCCTTTAATTCCCATGATAATATGAAGTAGCTAAGCCCATTGCACAGATTTAATTACTGGGGTTACACATCTGATGAATCGCAGAGCCCAGAATTTGGACCCAAAATTTGTCTGACAGCAACGTCTGTCCCAAATGGGTGATATAATCTTGAGGCGCTGTTTCCGACCATAAGACCACAACGTAGGCAGTAGTGATTTTCAGAGAAAAGAAAGTGAAAGAAAAGGCACGAACCCTTTGGGTAGGGCCGGGGCCGCGTGAGTGGAGGAGCGGAGCTGGGGAGGGCTGCACCCTGCTCCCCGGGGCCCATACTCCCGGACGTCGGAAGAACTTGGGCATGAACTTGCGCCTGTGCGGCTGTGTGTACGGAGCCCCGGAGATCGGGAGGCCAAGAGCGTGAGGTCGGCCGCAGCCCGCCCCGCTGGCTCGCGCCCTTCCTCGGGGAGGATGGTGAGAGGCTCCACGGGCGGGAGTGCGGAGGGCGGCGCGCGACACTGCAGCACGGGGCTGCGCGGAGACCCCACGGCCCTCGAACACCCTCTCCCTGGGGAGGAGCTTACCACCCTGACTTGTCCCGGAAGAGAGTAGAGTGCGGGGCATCGTTTTCCATGGAATCTTTGGTCTCTTTCCCCTCAGTTCTTAAAAAGTGCCTTATAAATTAGGGATAGTAATTTTTCATCTGTGATATATGTTATCGCCGTTTCCTTTCAGTTTGTCATTTGTCTTCTGAGTTTGCTGATGGTGGCTTTTTCCCCCATGCAAACGGTTTTTATTTTTATTGTAAAATTTACCAATTTTTTATTTTCTTGCATTTGGAATTTTGGTCATATTTTAAAAGCTTTCCCCATCACCCAGGTTATAGTCATCCATTTTATTTGTAATGCTTTATTTTTTACATTTAGATCTTTGATACATTTGGAGTTTATTCTTGTTTATGGTTTGAGGAATGGATCAAGTTTGATCTTTTTTCCAAATGGGTATCCAGTTGTCCCAACGCCATTTATTAAAAAGATTAGCACTGCCTTAGTAACTTGAGATACCACCTTTATCATATACTAGATTTTTATATGTATTTTGACTGTTTCTAGAACTTCTATTCCATAAACATGTTTATTCAACTGTTGCAGAGAGGCTTTGTTATATATTCTAATGTCAGGGCTAGTTCCCCTAACAGCTCTTCCTTCCCGCTGTTTTCCTAGTTATTCTTTTGTGCTTATCTTTACCTAGGAACTTTAGAATTGACTTCTGATTTATGATCAGTGGCAAAAAGAAAAAAGCTCCCATTGGGATTTATATTGGATTTGCATATAAATTACAGACAGCTGACATCTTGAGATGGTGTTGAGATGTTCTAACCAAGAACAAAGGATGCCGTTTCTTTGTTCTGGTTTACTTTTGTGTCTTTAAAGAGTGTTTATAGTTTTCTTACATAGACTATTTTCCTGTTAAGTTTGTTTCTAAACACTTTATCTTTTTTTTCTATTGTACATGAGGTTTTTCATTCACTGTATCTTCTATTTGTGTATATGAATGCTGTTGACTTCCTTTCATTTTAAAAATTAATGTATCATTTACATACAGCAAATTCATACTTTTTAATGTACAGTTCTGTGAGTTTTGACAAATGAATACAATCGTGTAAGAACCACAAGATATAAAAGAGATAACGATATTAAAAAGTTTCATCAACCACCCCCCCCCCAAATTCCCACTGGTTCCTTTGTAATCAACCTCTTCACTCAAAGGTGAGTCCCTGGCAAATACTGGTCAGATTTTGGTCCCTATAGTTCCAGAATGTCATAGAAGTGGAACCATGCAGCACATGGTCTTTTGAGCCTTGCTTCTTCACTTAGCATAATGCAGTTGAGTTTCATCCATGTAGTTAGACCTATTGCTAATTTGCTGTTGCTTTCTAATTTAATTCCACAGTGATTGGAGAACATGCTTTGTGTTATTTGAATCCTTTTAAATTTATAGATTGAGATTTGTTTTCTGGACAGAATATGGTCTATCTTGATAAATAGACCATGGACACTTCAAAGTGTGTTCTGTTGTTGTTGGGTGAAGTGTTCTATCAGCATCCATTAGATTAAGTTGATTGAAAGTGTTGTTCAAATCCTCATATCCTTACTGATGTTATGACTAGTTGAACTATCAATTACTGAGAAAGGATGCTGAAATCCCTGAGTATAATTGTAGACTTATTTCTCCTTGGAGTTCTATCCATTTGGGCTTCATATGTTTTGAAAGCCTGTTATTAGGTGTATGTATATTTGGGATTGTTAATTCCCCTCAATGAATCTGTTTGTCATTCCAGAAGAAGTAGAATAAAAGTTCTTATATTTATAAACATGTATAAATATATAAATATAGAATCTATATTAATATATTGAAATTTATAATATTATATATTATATAGATTTATAGAAATATCTATTACTTTGGGAGTGTTTTTTTTTTAAGAGAGCAAGAGATCATGAGCAATGGGGGAGGGGTAGAGGGCGAGGGAAAGAGAGAATCTTAAGCAGGCTCCAAGTTCAGCAGAGCCCCACATGGGGCTTGATTTCACAACCCTGAAATCATGACCTCAGCCAAAATCAAGAGTTGGGTGCTTAACTGCTGAGCCACCCAGGTGTCCCTACTTTGGAGTGTTTAAAGTTAACATTTTTAACCCATTGGGGGCTAATATTATTGTAGTTAGTTGTTGATTATGACATATGAATTTATATCTAATTTTCTTAATAATGAAAACTAATATTCCCAACACTATTTATTAAATTATGACTCATCTCTTTATTTTCTTATTCCTCTTAATACTTCATGTTAAGCTTTTTGATAGATTAAGGTTTATACCTGAAATTTCTATTGTACCTCCTGTCATATCATCTATTCTTAATTTAGAACTATTTAGTTTTATAATTACTACTTAATGATGCATTAAAAAAAATTGGGTAGAGGATACAGAAAGTTCCCATATACCACCTGCTCCGCCCCTAACTCCCCCATTATCAATATCTCACACCAGAGTGGTACATTTGTTACAATTGGTGAATCTACAGCAACACATTATTATCAAAGTTCATAGTTTACATTAGAGCTTGATCTTGGTGTTGTACATTCTATTGAGTTTTGACAAATGTTTAATAACATACATCCACCATTATAGTATCGTACAAAATAGGTTCACTGCCCTAGAAATCCTCTGTGCTCTGCTGTTCATCCTTCCCTCTCTCTCATCCTTGGCACCCACTGATCTTTTACTGTCTCTATAGTTTTGCCTCCAAAATGTTATATAGTTGGAATCATATGTTATTAGCCTTTTCAGATTGGCTTGTTTCACTTAGTAATATGCATTTAAGTTTCCTCCACGTTTTTTAGGCTTGAGAGCTCATTTATTTTTAGCACTGAACAATATTCCATTGTCTGAATGTACCATATATTTATCCATTTACCTATTGTAGAACATCATAGGATCATACAGTATGTGGCCTTTTGCCGCTGACTTCTTTCACTTATCATGTTTTCAAGCTTCCTTAATGTTGATGAATATATCAAAACTTTGCTACTTTTTATTGCCAGATAATATTCCATTTTATGGATATACAACTTTTTTTTTATCCATTCGTCATCTGACAGACATTTGGTTATTTTTACTTTTTGACTATTGTGAATAATGCTGCTATGAACACTTGTCTCAGGCAACTTGAGCTGCTAGAAAAAATACCATAGACTGGGTGGCTTAAACAACACTGATTTCTCATAGTCTGGAGGCTGGAAGTCTGAGGTCAGGAGTTCTTGGTGAGGACTCTCTTCCTGATTTGCAGATGACCCCTCTTGCTATTTTCTCACTTGGCAGAGAGCTCTGGTCTTTTCATCTTCTTATAAGGACACTAATCCTTTCATGGGGGTTTCACTTTCATGACCTCATCTTAACCTAATTACTTCCCATCTGACCCCATCTCCAAATACCATCAATCATATTGAGGATTAGGACTTTAACATCTGAATTTTGGGGGCACACAAACATTCTGTCCATAGCATTTGTGAACAAGTTTTTGTGTGGACATATGTTTCATGTCACTTGGGTATATTCCTATCTGGGTGTAAAACATGTGGGTCATTTGGTAACTCTAACTTTTTGAGGAATTGCAAAACTGTTTTCCTAAGTGGTTGTACCATGTTACAGTCCCACCAGCAAGATATGAGGGTTCCAATTTCTCCACATCCTTGTCAACACCTGTTATCATCCGCCTTTTAAAATTTTAGTTATTCTAGTAGGTGTGAAGTGATATCTCACTGTGGTTTTGATTTTCATTTTCTTAATGACTAATGATGTTCAACATTTTATTATGTCCTTATTGGCCATGTGTATATCACCCTTGGAGAGGTGTCTATTCAAATCCTTTGCCTATTTTTTAAACTCGATTATTTGCTTTTTTTATTGTTGAGTTGTAAGAGTTCTTTATATATTCCAGATTCAAGTCCTTTATCATCTATGATTTGCAAATCCTTTCGCCCATTCTGTAGGTTGTCTTTTCATTTTCTTGATGGTGTTGATGATTTTAAAATTTTTCACAATATGTGGCTGTAGTATTTGTAAAAAATGGTTGGTTTTGGTATCTTTTCCATTGCTATATTCTTCGTCATTTCTTTTTGCCACTTTATTTTGATGACCAGGAAGAATTCTGAAAAATATATCAAATAGAAGTGGTAACAGAGCACATTTTTAGTTTTTGTTTTGTTTTTTCACTACTCTTCTGAGTTCAGAGTAAGCCTCTTTATCATGCTAAAAGTTCCTTTACTTCTCTTTCAAGTGTTAAGAACAATGAAAAATGAAAGTAATAATCTCTGTTCTCCCCGTAAATGGTTACCCCATACCCAGTCTTCTTTGTGAATATGCAGCATTTTTTATTTTGGTTATCTGTAGATTGCCCTTTCATTATGCAGTAATAGAAACTTCTTTCTTTTCAGTAATGAGTTGTAGCTCTATTAATTTATGTCAGTGGAAGAACATCAATATTTATTGTCATGTTTGTTATTTTTTTCCCTGTGATTTGGTGAGTAAATCTGACTTTACAAAGAATAAGGGTTAACTTTATGCAATCATTTAGCCAGAATTACTATCTTCTTTTTTTTTTAATAAGGCAGTGAGTGAAATCTATTTTCTTCCAAAGCATTTAAAACATTGGAAAGTGATATAAAGGCCAAATCCTTTCAAATCTCAAATCAGATGTAAAAACTAACATCTTAAGTGTTTCTGTCTCTCTCAAAATTGCTAAGTTGGAAGACTTTAGTACAAAAGTAATGCTTTTCAGAAGAGTGGATAAAACAGATGAATTGGAAGTGGATGAAATAGGTGAAGTTTCAAAAGACCCTTCACAAGCCTCCCTTTTGGTTGCATTTCACAATATCCAAGACACCATGACAGAGAATGTGCTCTCCTTGCTTGTGGAGTCGATCAGTGGCCTGTCAGAAGCCAATGGTGACTTCGGGGTGGAAGGAATACCCAATATTAAAGTTGCTGTCATGACTTTTCTCCAAAAATACTGGTAAGAGAGACGATACCTTTTAACCTTTCATTTGCAAATTGTGGTTGTATCCTACTTTGAGATTC